CCTACGCTATGCGGACGACACAGTGATTATAACTGATAATTTGGAAGATCAGCAGTTATTGCTTGATAGGGTGAATAGCATAGGTAAAAAATATGGCCTCGAAATCAACATTTTGAAAACGAAATATATGGTCGTTAGCAGAAAACCCGATAATATGCATAGGTGACGATCATATAAAAGGCGTGAAAACTTTTAAATACCTTGGCACCACAATCAATGACCAATCGGATCCACAACACGAGATAAAAACCCGGATACAAATGGCAACACAAGCTTTTGTGAAATTCAGACCGCTCCTATGTAAGCAAAACCTAAATTTCGAAATACGCTACAGAATGGTCAAGTGCTACATATGGTCCATCTTGCTTTATGGCATGGAAACGTTGACTTTGAAAAAAAAAACATCGATCAACAAACTTGAAGCATTTGAAATGTGGTCATTGAGAAGAATGATGCGCATACCTTGGGTGGATAGAGTTCGAAACGATGACGTAATTAAGAGAGCCGGCGTGGAAAGAGAACTCTTTGAATTAATTAAAAAACGCAAGATTGGTTACCTTGGGCACATATTGAGAGGAGCAAAATATGAAATACCACAGTTAATCCTACAAGGAATATCGAAGATAGGAGAGGAGCCATCCACAAACAATTATCCTGGTTAAGGAATATTAAAGAATGGACAGGAATACACAATACAGGCGAGCTGTGTCACGCCACCAAGAACAGAATTCTAGTAATGAGATAGTCGCCTACGCACTTTGGTGTATGGCATGTTAAGAAGAAAAAGAACCCTTGGTTAATCAATATTTTTGTTTAATCTACCCAACGGCTTGGAGATCTTCCCCTAGGTCTCTTTCCTTCAACTCTAGCCTCGACTATCAGTTTTTTCATCGTACTTGTTCTTCTAGCAATGTGTCCAAAATACTATAAATATCTCTGTTGTATTTGTTTAAGCAATCTATCCTTTACTTTAAGTTGTTGTAATATCGATACGTTAGAGCGATGATCAATCCAGGATATTCTCAATATGCGGCGGTATACCCACATTTCTAAAGCGTCCAGTTTATTTTTATCCGCTTTCTTTAAGGTCCACGTTTCGGATGCATATGTGGCTATGGGAAAAATGAGCGCCCTTACCAGCATTAGTTTTGTGTGAATTTTTATGATAGAATTTGTCCAAATTGCTACCAGTTTCATCATAGCTGTTCTAGCAATAGTCAACCTTCTACATATCTCTCTGTCACACCCTCCGTGATTTGTTATTAGGGACCCTAGGTATATGAAACTATTTACTACTTCAAAGCCCCCAATTTCTTTAATGTTTGAAGATTATTCCGAGCTCTGTCTACTATCATGATCTTTGTCTTACTCCTATTTAGCTTTAGTCCAAATGTTTTACTTTTTCCCTCCAGACATCTCATTATGTCTTCCATTTCTTCTTGATTTGCCGCGATTATTAAAGTGTCGCCAGCATATCTCAAGTTATTGATTTTTTGACCTCCTACTGATATTTCGCCCTTCCATCCATCTAGTACCTTTCGCATAATGTGTTCGCTGTATATATTAAACAGAGTTGACGAGATTATGCATCCCTGCCTGACACCTGTATCTGTTCTGAAATCATCGGAATGGGTGTTGTTTGTTTTTACTGTGCACTTTTATATAGACTTCTAATTAGTTGAATTAGGTGGTGGGGTGTTTCCATTTCCGCTAGTATGGACCATAGCTGCTGCCATTTGACTTTATCGAAGGCCTTTGTGTAATCTACAAAGCACATAAGCACAGAAGTATTGAATTCACGAGTTTTTTCGATTATCTGTCTGACATTAGGGATGTGTTCTCTTGTGTCTTTTCCTGGGACAAATCTCGCTTGTTCTTCTGATACTGAGGCAATAGAAAAGCTTTTAGTCGTGTATTACATGAAGTAGAACCTTGCTTGCATGGGATATTAGGGTTACCGTTCTGTAGTTGCTGCAATCTAGCGGAGTTCCTTTTTTGAATATAGGGATGAAAGTGGATGTTGTCCAGTCGTTGGGCCACTCTCCGGTTTCCCAATTGCAGATTATATGCATAACATTTAATCCAACATCTCCAGTCTCTTTTAAAACTTCTGCGGTGATCTGGTTTGCGCCAGAAGAGGGCACCCTATATATTTTAACATTTTACGTTTAAAATTTTAATTCTCTTTCAGCTGATATGCCATATTATATATCTATTTCCAGTCGTTGAAACTATTGTGCAAAAATTGTTTATTTTACATCACGTTAAAGAGCACATTCTATTTTATTATGCGGAGAGAGACTAATCCCTCACAGTTTTATTTACTAGAAATGTAAAGTAAGTTTTATAAGTGTTTTTTAGAAATCTCCAAATAAAAAATTTCAGTATTTAGTTCTGGTGAACGAGGGAACCACCTAACAGTACTATAAGTTCCAATTCACCGATTATGGAATTTTTTGCTCCAATATTTTTTTACGGATTCAACATTATGAGCAGGTTCTTCATCTTATTGGTTTCAAAATGTTCTCTTGGCCAAATATTCCTCATCAAAAATGTCATTTTAATTCGTTTCTAAGATATGTATATGTCGTAGGCAATCACGTCATTCCGTGAAAAACCTAGTCATTACACGTATTGCCGGCAAACGCTGTATTACTTTGTTTGACTGAAATTATGCACCATTTCAGGGACTGTCGTATCTGGCAGACGACAAACGGTGATACCAGCGGAACGATTGAACGTTACAACACCTGACGGTTGTATGTTGTATGTGGGGATCCTGTGTCCCTTTTATACGACAGCGAACTGTACCCAATAAAAAATTTCTAGATTTTCTAATAAAATTATCTCCAAATACCAACAATAGACAAACTGGAATTAAGGTAACTGCTAGTACTCTAAACTATACAGTTGAGTAAAAAACTACCATCAATAAGCAATATACCTACATACTGGCGAGATATATACCATCTATCAAGCTCTTACTTATATTAACTGCACTACTATACTATACTTTAATGCTTTTATAGTTACCGATTCTCTTAGTTCCGTAAATACCATTAACCAACTGTATACGACACATATTGACAGCAAAAGTTAAATGCGCTAGAAAAGAAACAAAGTTTTAGCAGTTTTATCATGGCTGAATGATGTGCGGCACTGAGTACAAACAGCTGCAACTAATCTTGGAGGAAAAGATAGGTGGATGATGTATCATAATCAGTCAATCTTCGCTTGAGTACTGCTGGACATAGATCTCCCTCATAATTTTCCATCTGTGGACGACCTCCGCTTCGGTAGGCATCATCTCTTGGTCTCGGCACGTGATATAAAACGACGACTGACTTTTCAACTTGCAATACGTAATTCAATCTATCTATACAGTCCCTAAACATCCCTCCTTGGATATAGGCCTCCTCCTCCTTCTTAAATGCCTCTCTATCTTGGGAAATTTGCATCCATTTTGACCAGGCGTGTTTCTTCAGGTCATCTGACCATCGCATTTGTGGCCTTCCCCTTTTTCGTTTGTGATTCCATGGTCTCCAATGTATAATTGTCTTAGTCCATCTTTCATCTCTCTGCCTTAGGGTGTGTCCGGCGAACTTACATTTAAGCTTTGCTACTTGGGTTGAGACATCTTTCACTTTTGTTTTATTACGGATCCATTAGTTTCTTTTTCTGTTTGATAGTTTAATGTTCAGCATTTGTCTTTCCATGGATCTTTCTGTCTTTGCTATTTTTTCCATATTTTCCTTTGTAAACGTCCATGTCTGAGAGCCATATGTGAGGACAGGGAGTATACATTGATTGAAGACTCTCGTTTTTAGGTATTGGGGGTATTTTGAATAAGACAGTTTTCCGAATGATGCCAAGGACAATCTTATTCTTCTCTTTATTTCTTCGGTCTGATTTTCTTTATTTAATTTAGTGATTAGGCCTAGATATATATACTCTTTTACTTGTTCTATTCTTGTTTGTGCCACTGTAATTATTAGTTCTTCTGGTTGATTAATCATGGTTTTTGTTTTACTGTAATTCATCTTGATTCAAATCTTGTTGATTCTGTCAAAGAAAGAGTAAACCTTTCAGGGACAATTGGAAAAAAAATTAAACGAAATTAAAAAAAAAAACAGATAAATTTAATGAAGTTTTAAACCGGAATGAAGGCTTTTCTTTATTGCGATTAATAAATAACATAATCAATGGAAGCTTTTACGAAGTTATTAATATGGATGGATCCCTCGCTACTGTCAAATTCTAGATTTGCGGCAATTACATCCTGTGATGTTGAGAGATCGTTTTTCTCATATAAACACATATTAACTGATAGAAGGCATAACATTACTCTTGAAAATATTTTATGATTATATACTGTAACAGCAAGAACAAGGACATTTTGTTGTGAATTTTCATTTTATTTTTTTTATTAAATGTAGTAATAAATAAAAACTCTCTATACTATAATTTTATTTCTCACCAAATCTCAAGCCCTAAAAATTAAAATATATATTTTTTTAAAGTGCATATTATATAAATGCATATTGAATATAATAAAGGCATATTTGGTTACTTTTTAAGTGCATTTTGCATGCATATTTTAACCATTTGTTAGAGCATATTATCCAGTCTCCACTTATAAGAAACTTTTCTATTTTGAGTAACTTAACTTTTTACAAAGCAATATCATCTATTAACTTAATCATTGGAAACTGAGTTTATTGATGGTGATGAACAGTAACAAGATTGTGTTTAACTTGCATCTAACTGCCACACATAATTTGATAAGATTGAACTAATTATTCTCATATAAATTATTTTTTATAAGCCCCAAATATTCCGCCTATGAAATACAGAAATAAAATCATTGAGACTAATTGACAAAAGTGGGGAGAAGCGATAAATGTCCACACAGGAAATATTTATCAAATTAAACTTTATTTAGATGATTTTCATTCTTCTTTTAGTTGGGTGTTGTCTTTGCAAAAACCGAGTCCAATATCATGTTAATATATATATTTTTGTACTCAGGGGTATATTTACTAGGCTGTGTTCACTCAAAATTTACCACTACAAGTAAGAATATAATTTATTAATAATGTTAACTGATTAACCTTTGAATAAAGCCAGCTCATCAAAAACCAATAGCTTTTGTTTAGATAAATCAATAGAATTATAATTTTAGTATAATAATCCTTATACCGCAAACTATAACCACGTTTTTATAATATAATCATCACATCATCATAATAATCACTATCACAATTGGTTTAAATCGGGCACAACGCATTGTTTGTTTTATTGGCCTTCTAATTTTGTGAGTGATAGATCAAAACAATGGACTTCCTGCTTTATTGGCTTCTTTATTTGTTGAGGTTTTTCATATATAATTTAAAATATAATCACATCATATTCACCCTCACATAACTTAATTTAATTTTGATTTTTGTTCAATACTAGTTACTCCTGGAACAATTTTTAGAAATAGTCTTACAATATAAGTATTAATTTTAATCAACACCTAAAACATAATTTCTAATAAAGGCAACTCATTCTTTGATTTTTTTTTATTCATATAAGATTCGATGAATTTAAAAACTTACAGTGAAGTAAAAAATCATGTACTAACTGTGAAGATGTCTATATTGGACAAACCAGTCAACTGCTTTAATCCAGAATTCGTTCTCACAAATATGACAAGAACAAAATCACAACACACACAAAGCATGAGAATGAGAAGAAGCATAACTTTATTTTAAATCAAATACAATCAGTTATTATCGAAACGAATCATATATCGAATTAAATATCAAATCGAATCAATTATCGAATCGATTATAGAATCGATTATCGAATCGAATCAATTATCAAATTAAATAGATTATCGATTCAATTATCGAATCGAAATCGAGTCGCATCGAAATCGAATCAAATCGAACTGATTGTCGAATCGATTATCGAATCAACTATCGAATCGAATCGGAATAGAATCGCATCAAATATCGAATCAAATCGAATTGATTATTATTCTCCTTCCTATTTACTCCAAAATGTTTTTCAAGCAATTTTGCTACGTCCTTAACCTTTTCTGCTTTTAGGGTCACACCAATACGAATTTTTTTTGGGTTGATCTGTCCAATAGTGCAGTTGGCCTTGTAAATTTTCCCCTCTGCACCAGTGTCAAGGTTGTAAGCCATCTCTTCTTTCACAACGATGTTTCCCAATTTAGTTTTCCGAAGAACTATTCATCGGCAGTTGGAAATTTTGAAATAAAGTTAAGCCGCTGTTTTCATAAAACTTTTCGATTCTTGTTTCCAGTCCAACGGTACACAAACCCCTCCAATCAACTTAATTGTACTATATTTCTTAAAAATTTCAGGACATTCTTTTTTATCAGAATTGCGTTGATTTTTTTAATGTTTTTTCTATCATTCCAAACACTCTGTCGGCAGGAAGGAATGAGTGCCCTGTTACAGGAAAAACTGTTTCAATTTTTCGTATGCTTGTTGAAGTACAGCTATCTAGAAACTTACAGCACATAGTTAAAATATTTATGGTAGCAACCTCGTTGGATGATTTATTTGCTTTGTCTTCCATCCAGGTATAAATTGAGACAGTACTGAGATTCAGGTATTCATTTGACAATCCTTTAACTACTGAAAGGTTATAACAGTAAAACTGTCGTAAATAGTATGGACTTTGATCAGTTATTTTTGACAAAACAAGGTTTTTCTGGCAATCAAAACTCAAAATAAAACATCCTTGTGGTTTTTCTCGCAGGTGCTGGAAGAAGGCTTGGGCCTGTTTCTTGCGTAACTCCATTTTCATTTTAAGACACCTTTTTCTTCCTCCGTTTTTCTACTTGGATAAGGTTTTGTAATTACTACAATTACTACATTCATCCATGCTAGGGTAAGAGAACCCAATGTTGAAATCTGAGCAAAATGTTTTCCTGAAAAATCCCTGAGTAACCTTCTCAGATTCTTCTTTACCATAATTGAACATTTTCCACATTTTGGCGATATTCAGGTCTGATGGTAGGTATACACGTGATGAGTGATGTCGTAAATAATGCGATTCAATAGCTTAAAAACTACCGATGAACTTTTTTTACTTCTTCTCTTTTCGGAGCAAACTTAACTTCTGGTTTTCGCCACGGGTTTCCAATGGGACCTGAGAAACACCGTTCTTGAATTTTCGGAACACTCCCATAATTCTATGCTTAGTAATAGGCTACAACACCTTGAGAAAAGAATCCCTGCAAACGTTGAGATTGTTGCCAGCGCGGTTTACAACCGAATATTGGGAGATTGTGGTTTTACTCATTATAGACTCAAGCTTCTTTCTTTTGGGGATAGGTGGGCCAGCCCGAAAGTATTTCAAAATGAACACATCTTGCTTGATTTTTCTGGGATGGAGTAAAAGGCTTTATGGAACTCCACGACATCATGCATTGTTAAAAGCTGGCACTGGCATCCAACTCGATGATGACAGGTGGGGTACAGAGGAAGACCTTTGGTTGAGTACCTGCGTGAACATACAAAAGGAGAAATTAATTAAACTTTAGTTAATTTAATGAATAGTCTATTCATTCAAGTCAATAGCAAGAATTTTCATTAGAAATCTCTCAATTTTATGAAGTTTATGAAAAATTTTAGCAAGCGGTACTAAGCTGGTCATGTTTTTACAGCCAAATTTCAAGCTTCATATTTTAAAATCAGACATTATCATATCATTTAAAAACTATTCATAACTTGGATGAACATATACAGTAACTTCCAACATATCAAAATTCCACCCACCTATTGAAAATTTGTTACAGCAATCAAATATTAAGTACATGATTGAGTTCAATGATTAGACTTACCTTTGTCGTTTCTTGATGTTTGTTTTTCGTTTTCCAAACTAATATTATGCGAAAAAACAGTTTAAACTAGTGATAAACACAAATAAAACGATTCTTCAGACGAACATCAGACAAGTTGAAAGCAATGGCGGCGGTTGTTGATTTCTCAGTCATGTGATCACAATACAGCATTCTCATAGGCAGTTGGGGACATGTCCGTTTTTGAAATAAACCTTCATAGCAGGAGTCCGTTTTTGAAACAGACCTTCAACTGTTAAGTTAAAAATAACGTATTTGCTTCCGAGTTGAAAGGAAACTATTATCAGAACAATTCTATAAGAAACAACTACTAACTAAATGTTTATTTTTTATACATGTTATTGTAATTTTTATACATTTTATACATTTTTACAGTTATATGTGTGTCTTATTCCCAATATTATGTTTAATAAAAGTTTAAAGGTCATAATGAAACAGTTTTTCTACTTTATTAGAGTGTAGTCGCATTTTTTATTATTAACATGTTTATAATTTTCAGAGATTGGTCCGCAGCCGATTTGGAATGAAACATTTACGGACAAACTTCGCCATGATCTGTTGCTAAATTATGACAAATTTTCCAGACCTGCTCAACATTACAATGTAACAACTGTACGATTTGGGATGGGTATACGACACCTTGAGTTTAATGAAATGAAATCATCACTTACAGTTTACGCTTGGTTGCGAATGGTAAGTTGATATTTTAATTATAGTATAACATTTGTGTTACTGTTCAATTACAAATTAAACCCTTTAATTTTTAATTTTAGATTAATCCTAGCTTCTCATATACCTATACACCTAATATTTTACCTATATCATCATCAGCCTTTTTGAGTCCACTGCTGAACATAGGCCTCCCGTAAATAATTCCAATGCATTCCATCTTGAGCACCCTGAATCCAGTACTATTTCAATTTTGTAATCCTTTAAACTGCATCAGTAACACCAGTTTTTCTCCTAACTATTGTATTTGATACTCTGTCTCTGAGGGATATATTCAGCATTGACCTCTCCATCGCTCTCTGTGCCACTTGCATTTTATTGATTACTTTTCTGGCAAGGGTCAATGTTTCTGCTCCATACGTTAGAACTGGGAGTACACATTGATCAAAGACCTTCCTTTTCAAGCACATGGGAATATCTGATCTTAAGACTTCTCTCAGTTTTCCGTAAGCCGCCAAAATACCATTTTGTTGTGTGTTGTGTTGCCATAATACATTCTAACTGCAGCTGTTGCGCTATTATATATATTCCGAAGAAGAGTTGTGTACCTATGATCAATACTGCACTCTGTAAGAGCTCTTAACATGGAGCGATGCTGGACTGAGTCAAACGCTTTCTCAAAGTCTACAAATATGAATATCAATGGCTTGTTGTATTCTGTAACTTGTTCTATTAAGAATTTTATTACTGGTAGGTGGTCATTCGTTCCAAAACCACTCCTAAATCCGGCCTGCTCTAATGGTTGGTGAAAATCCAGCTTAGGTTCCAGTCTGTTAGTAATTATTCTCATAAAGAGCTTATATAAATGAGATAACAAGCTGATAGGTCTGTAGTTTCCAATTTCTGTTACATCTCCTTTTTTATACAATATTATCATAATGGCAGTATTCCATTTTTCTGGTGTAACTCCTTCAAAGAGGCAGGCATTATAAAGGATTTTTAAAGCTTTTATGATGCATTCGCCTCCTAATTTTAGCAATTCACTTACAATGCCATCTTCTGCAGGAGATTTGCTGTTCTTCATACCTTTCAACGCTAATTGGATTTCCTCTTCGGTTATATCTGGAAGTTCCTCTGATCCTTGATTTTGTATGCCTGGGATTTACACCTCTGGAATGTGGTGAATCTCGACGATGCCTTTACCTATATAATGGAAATTATTAACTGTAGTTTAATTACAAGGTTAGGTTAGGTTCCGGTAGTATTAGATCAATTGCTAAATTATGTTGCAATAATATCAAAATTTTAATTATATTTGCAAAAGCACCTATATAGAAAGCTAGAAGATACAAGTTACAAGGCAGTGGCATTTTTGATCAATTGTAGTTTTATTTGTGAGCATATAAATACATGTTAAACTCTTTTTAGTATGTAGTCTATTAGAAGATTTACCTCATCCAAGTACGCTCAGTTAGTTTGAAGTTACGTCGAGTGTACTTATTTTAAAGCTACCAATAAATCATTTAGTCCACGATTTCGAATTATTTCACATCGTCGATCGAGAAGTTCGGCCATAGGACATTCGAATTTATGTTCAAATTTATACAGTTACAAAAAACACGATTTTTACCATAATCAGTATCCTAAAAGAAGCCTATTAATGTTATATATTTATACGAGTACTCGTCCTGAATTTAGCTTAAAGACTATCATCATTATAATTATTTTTCTGCTATCTCTAGGCAAGATTGACTTCCCTAATTGCATTTTGTTAAGTTTTTTATCTTTAGTTATATCAATACAGAATTTAAACAAGCAAAATGACGTCTCTGTATGTGGGTATCATCGGGATATGACCATATTTTAATATGCTGTAAATGGCCAACTTGCAAGGAGACAAAAATATTGATCATTAGTAAGAACACCAACATAATGTTTCATTTATTTAATTATCTTTTTTAAGATATAGGTTATATTCAAATTTAATTGTTATATAGAATTGGAATGATGAAAAGTTAAAATGGGATCCTGAAAATTATGGAAATCTTTCAGTTTTACACCTAGCTGAACATGAACTGTGGCAGCCGGATATTTATTTATATAACAGGTAAGAATATAAATAGTTAATACATATTTTGTACATTAATTTATATATATATATATATATATATATATATATATATATATATATATATATATATATAAATGCTATAAGGACCATTGAAGTATTTGTGTAAATATTATAGATTTGCGTAGATTATCTTCTTGTATATAGTGTATGTTCCGTCATATCAAACAAATATTGTTATGATCAGATTTATATATATATATATATATATATATATATATATATATATATATATATATATATCATCATCATCATCATCATCATCATTATCAGCGTATTCTACCAATTATGGTGCAGCCTCCCTTACATAGTCGTTCTTCATGTCTGCCCACGACTGTCTAATATTCGCTTTTCTGTGCCATGTTGTACCGGCTTGTTTCCTTATGTCATAGTCCCATCTTAAATTTGGACGTCTTCTTGGTCTCTTGACGCCCCTTGGATACCACAGAGTAATTCTAGTGGACCATCTATTGTCAGTTCTTCTTGCTAAATGTCCCGCCCACTGCCATTTTAAAGATTTTATTCGGTGGATTACATCAGTGACCTTCGTTTTCTGTCTGATCTATTCTATTCTTTTTCGATCTATATATATATATATATATATATATATATATATATATATATATATATATATATATATAAATGCTATAAGGACCATTGAAGTATTTGTGTAAATATTATAGATTTGCGTAGATTATCTTCTTGTATATAGTGTATGTTCCGTCATATCAAACAAATATTGTTATGATCAGAAGACATTACTGGAAAATTTATTTTCTAATGCAGATCAATAAGAGTTCTCTTAAAAACAGTTGTAGTAAATATCATTTGTTTTAGTGCCACTAGTACTGCCGTTAATCAATTTGGAAATACGCATTTCCTAGTTTATTCGGACGGAAAAGTTTTATGGGTTCCTCCAGCACAATTGGTGGTACTATGCGGATTGAACTTGAAATATTGGCCGTTCGATAAACAAGAATGTTCTATGAAGTTCGGATCTTGGACATACAGTGGCGATCAAATTGATCTGCTTCATTATAATGATAATGCTGAAGTTGGGGTAAGAAAGCTATTTACCTTTTGTGTTTATTTACAGATGTCTTCCAAAGAAAAAATATTTTTTGACATTTGAACAAATACTCAGAAACAAATGCTAAGATTATTACTGTTACAAAAATTAATATTAAACTCACCAGTCTTCCGGGTTAAACCGCGTCGATTATCACTGCGCCGAGCTTTCGACATCCTTTTTGATGTCTTCTTCAGGGCTTTCAAGGTCTCAGCCTCCCAACCCTCCAAACACTAATACACTGATCAATAATCAATGCATTACTGCTACTGGGAACAGCGGACAATTCATTTATACCGTCAGTGGTGACGTAGTTTGTGTGAAGTGGAGGGTGGCAACATTTCTGTCAGCGGAATTTTGATTGGAGGGTCGAGCGAACGATATTTTCTTTATGAGAGGTCTCCATGTCGAAGGTAACCGGATGAGGGTCATCTCTTTTATTGAAACAATTTGACCTTTTTTCATTTTCTATGGCTTCTTAAATAATTCTTAGTTTATAGAAGCAAATGAAAGTTATGGTTCTGTAGTTTTCAAAACCAATTTTGTGATCTGTATGAAGATGGTGTTGACCTAAAGCTAAAATTGAATTGGAATTGCGAAGAGAAATTGAATGTTCATAAATCCTATTTTGGATTCTACGATTACTATGATACTGTGTTGTTCATTTGGTATGTTGTCTTTGATTGATAAAAAAAGCAAGATATGAAAGTTTTTTGGATGGTAAATATTGGCTTTATTCCTCTTCATTTAAGAATTTTGTCGATTGTGTCAGTGACACGTTTGATGTAAGAAAGAAAAGCTCTCGTATGGTAAGGATCTGAGTCTTTGGATTAAGATTAAGTGGGATATTGATGTCTGTGGATGCTCCTATTGATGTCATTTTCGCGATAACCGTTTGGGGTGAGAGCTTGTTTTAAACTAGAGAGCTCAGCGGGTCTACTTGCATCATCTCAAAGGAGTATTGATCGGGAGACAAGGGTATCACTGACTGAATTAATTTCTGAAGGTGGATGATGAGAGTTAGCATGCAAGTAACGATTGGTATGGGTGGGTTTTCGATAAAAAGAGTGATGAAAACCTATGGAGTGGTTTTTCTTTATAATAACGTTGAGAAACGGTATGGACAAAACAGGTGGGTTTGAAAAGATACCAAAGTATCCCTGCCGTGGGGCCAAATGACGAATGTATCGTCAACATATCGTAGCCAACATGTGGGCTTGAGCATTGATGTGGGGATAGTTCCCGGGTCTCGAAGTCTTCCATAAAGATATTGGCAATTACTGGAGATAGTGGGGAGCCTATTGGGGCACCATTTATTTGTCTGTAGAATTGATATTGGAAGATGAAATAAGTATTAGACATACTACTTTATAGACGTTTTTCACTGATGATAGGATCGACAACGTTCTGAAAATTTATAAATCCATTTTGGATCAATTTTAAAAATTTTAACAATAAAATTATATAGCATTATACCAATGATAAATTTACTTCATTGTAAGTTTTTTAAACTATGCTATATTGCCAATCACTGGGAATTTCACTTTTAAATTTTTATTATTAAAGTATTTTAGTGTTGTATCTACTGTTATTTGGAGATCTTCGTAAAATATCAATATATCTTGTTTTGTGTTTCAAAAACACAAGTGCCCATAAAAATGGAATTAAGACACCAATAGACTTTGATAAATCTAAACACTTATTTTTTTTATTTTAGCTAGAATTTATAATAAACAATTCAGAATGGGAACTAACTAATGCTGTCCAGACACGACACGTAAAATATTATTCGTGTTGCGCTGAAGCATATCCAGACATAACAGTAAATTTAACGTTAAATAGGATATCTACTTCGTACAAAGCAATTATAGTGACGCCTGCATTTGGTAAGTTTTAAAAATAACAAGTACTATCACACATTAACTCTTTGGGCCGCCACGGTATACGCGATGTACCACCTTTTTCGGTATTGTTAAGCGGCGGTGGCCTTATAAATGTACCAGCTGTTTAAATCGTTGTCGCTTACATTGCAATGGTACAGTTTTTCGACCAATGTAAAAGCTATCTTCTGGAGACTAGGCAAACACACTGGCACGCTTAAATCCAGATTTTATAGCACACTGTAGTCACAAACTATATTTTATTGTCAGTGTATCATGTAATGAAGCTTGTCGACAGTTTTTTATGAATGAGTTACTGAAAACTAAAGTACTTATAAAATAATTGTGTTCAAGACAATTGTGTGTATTGAGGTTGCTAGGCAAGTAAGAATTAATCTAATTGATAATATTTGTGTGGCAATTGAAAATCCACCAAGTTTTCTCGTGGTACAATATTGGTACCACCGCTTCGCATATGATATTTTACAAAATTAATTTTTGTCTAGGAAAATGTCTAGCAGAACTGGATAATATAGATGAAGGTGTAGAGGCAATACCGGCAATGTAGCCGACCGGATTATAACAGATTGATTTTTTGGATAAGAGTAGACTAAAGGTCGATTCAGATACATCAGTCACGTCTCGTCACAGTCCTGGCGCCGAACCGAACAATCCGTCATACAAAATATTCTTTAATAGAAATATGACGCCGGCATTCACATTCATCAGTTGACGAACAGTTTCTCATCTGTCAGATAATTAATAGTTCTGTGACCAAACAGGACCGGTTCGGCGCCGAGACTGTGACGGGACTGATGTGTCTGAATCGACCTTAACTGAGAATTATAATTTGACGTTATTGAGCACTCTACGAGACAAAAATTAGGAAGAGAAAATGTGAAACGCTGCCAAAAAGTGTATTTTTATGTAATTACATGCCTGTTATGTTAGCTAATCTTCACAAACAAAATAAGATTAGCTTTATTTTAAATTCCTGGATACAGAAGGGAGGGAATAAGCACACAGAGACATATAGTTATAGTTATATAGTTCTTAATAGAGACAGACCTAACACAGAGTGATCGCGATCACTCTGTGTTAGGTAGTACTATAAAAACAGGCAGTACTATAAAAACCCAGTTGTTTAGTTTCTGATACTTGTGACTACATGTTACTGTACGTAAAAGAATGGTGATTATGGTCACCGTTTTAAAATCGTTTTTATGTTAAAAGCGTAACAGATGTATTGATTTATAGAGCTACACCAATGAGATAGTAAAATATCTTATGATGGTATTAGATCTAAACCAGTTATATGTTGCATTCTGAACATTGAATACGATGATACCCTATCATTTTTACCAAACATATTAGTTTTTCACGTAAAGTGTTATAGTAACTGCTATGGTACTCTAATTTTTTTTTAAACATTTATTTTTAGTGGTGATCATGTTAACGATGTTAAGTTTTACTCTACCTCCTCAAGCTGGTGAGAAAATTATCATAAATGCTTGTACAGCGATAGTAGTATGCCTTTTTACGTTATATTTTACACAAAAGCTACCGATGATGGGCGCCGAAACACCGTTGATTGGTAAGTTCCTGTAAATTTAAAATGAATCAATAATTATTTCTTATCATCATCATCATTTTTAATAAAGCATTTCCTCTATTAAACATCAGGCCAAAACATAATAAACCTTGGATTACCAAAGGCATTCGCATATCTGCGAAAAATATGCGTTCTCTGCTATATATTAAAAAATTTAATGACAGTATCCCCATCTCTGATTATATCAACAAGTACAGAAAATGCTATATAAAACTACTCAAAGTAGCCAAAAAATCCTACTTTCATAATCGCTTAACAAGCTCCAAAAATATTTCAAAAGAAACTTGGTCAATAATAAACGATTTTCGAAATAAAACCAGTACAGCGGATCAAACCTTTTCTTTTCCTAACCCCGAAAATCTAAATGATTACTTTGTTAATGTGAGTAAAAATATACCCTCAACTATTTCGCCACATCAAGATCCAGTTTCCTATCTCTCTAATTCAAAAAACATTGCTGATACCTTCTTTTTAAGACCAGTTGATAAGACGGAACTCATTTCAACAATTCGTAGTATAAAAAGCACATCGTCCTGTAGTACAGATGGATTATCTATTAAAATTTTCTCAAATCTACCGCATAATGTTTTGGACGTCATGGTCTCGCTAGTAAATGATTCCATTGAAAAAGGTACATTCCCTAACTACCTAAAGACTGCCATCGTCATTCCTCTTCATAAAGGTGGAGAAAAATCTGATGCCTGCAACTATAGACCTATTGCCTTGTTACCAGCACTATCAAAAATTATTGAAAGACTTATAAAAGTTCGACTTATGCCCTTTCTCCTTAAATATAATATTTTATCGCAAAATCAGTTCGGCTTTTTGTCTAATAAATGCACTAGTGATGCCATATTTTCTGTGTTACATGATGTATATTTATCACTAAACAGTAACCTCTCCCCCGCCACCGTTTTCTGCGACTATTCCAAAGCCTTTGACTGCGTAAATCACGACATTCTATTAAAAAAATTAACGTTCTACGGAATTCGGGGTGTGTCTTTGAACTGGTTCAAAACTTACTTGGTAGGTAGGAAACAATTGGTTAGAATAAATGACACCGACTCTAGTTGTAAAGATATTGAGTGTGGAGTACCGCAAGGTTCAGTATTAGGTCCCATTCTTTTTTTACTTTTCATTAATGACATCACTTACTTGAAAATTAAAGGGAAAATTTTTCTATTTGCTGATGATACCAGTATTACTTGGAGCAGCTCTGATATTTCAACGCTTCATTCAATTATAACCGATGATTTACTTATAATCAAGGCTTGGTCAGACTCCAACTTACTTAGCTTTAACGTGGATAAGACTGTAGCATTATCTTATAAAGAAGTCATGCAACCCTTGCTTTTGAATGAGAGCCAAATCTATATCGTAAATTCCGTGAAATTTCTAGGTATTCTCATTGACAGTGATCTCAAATGGTCCTTGCATACTGACTCCTTAAGGAAGAAACTAGCCTCAGCTTGCTTTGCAATAAGATCTGTTTCGAAGGAACTAAATTTATCTTCTGCCAAAATGGCATATTTCTCATTGTTCGAGTCCCATCTTCAATATGGGCTTCCATTTTGGGGTTCTAGTACAGCGGCCCAATTTGATACTATTTTTAAGTTGCAAAAAAGAGCAATCCGTTATCTATTTGGTCTCAAACAAACAACTCATTGCAAGACCTACTTCAAAAATCACGGAATTTTGACGCTTCCCTCTTTATTTATTTTGGAAACGGTTTGTTTGATTCGAAAGCATCTAAACATTTTTCCCGATAGACCTGACCATGGCTACTCAATTAGAAATTCGGATTGTAACGTTTATTTGCCGATCCCGTCCACTCAGCTAGTAAAGAATTCTATTCTATATCGTGCAAAGAAACTTTATAATTACCTTCCAAGAGAAATTAAATCCGCAACATCCTTCATTAAGTTTCGTAAGGTGACAAAAATCTATCTCTAAGAAAGACCATATTATTCAGTTGACGAGTTTCTTAATGTATAACAAAGAAACAAAATTAGTATTGTTTATAATTACATTTGGGTGTCTCAAGCAGTGGCTACAATTTGTCTCATTTGTTGTTGTCTGTACAAATTATGTAGGTTATACAATAATTTTACTAATTTAAAATTGTGTTATTCTGTTTTTTACTATATTGTTTTTGTTTTATACTTTTTGTATTATTTGACTGATTTATTTTTTAGCTTTGTCCATAAATTTGTTCAATAATTTTCAGTGACAATAAAGCATATTTCTATTCTATTCTATTCTATCATTATCATCGCCCTACAGCCTTTCGTGGGCCCTGACCTGTTTCAAGACATCCTTCCATTCGCCCCTATCAAATGCTTTTCCTTTCCATCCTCTAATGGCAACTGTTTTGAGATCCTCTTTCGCGACGTCAGATATCTCTAGTTCTAGTTCTTACTGGGTTTTGGAATATGGATGTTCTGGTGGGGTTTCCAGGGTTCATTCTTAACACCCGGCCAACTCATCTTATAAAGTTTATCGTTACTAGTTTTACTATATGTGGGTACTTTTAGAGGTGGTTATATTTTTTAGAGGTCAAAATCAAAAAAGAGATTATTATGTAATAATCTCTCAGGATGCCATTTCACTAATCACTAATATTCCGGAAGATTTAGTATATTCAATTATACGTCTAAAATGTGAACTAATAACACCCCACACAATCTTAACTAAAGAAAAATTTCTGAAATTGCTAAAATTAATTTTAAAAAATACCTACTTTTCATTCAACAACACATTTTATCGATAAATCTTTGGAACTCCCATGGGTAGTCCAATAAGTAATATATTGGCACTCATTGTTTTAGATCATCTAATAGAAAATACCACAATCAACCTCTCATTTATACTAACCATTCTATACAAATTTGTCGATGACATTATCTGTGCGGTACAAAACGATCAGGTTGACACCATCAAATTCGTTTAACTCTTTTAATGAAAAAATATAATTTACTGTTGAAAGAGAAACTAACAATAGCGTACATTTCTTGGACACTAAAGTAATCCGCACGGAAGAAAATCATATAGTACTAGATTGGTACCAAAAACCTACTCCATCAAGCAGATTTCTAAGCTTTACTTCCAACCTGCCAAAAAAATAGAAATACAGTATAGTTCTTACTATCAAAAATAGAATACTCAATATATGCGACGTCCTGTTTATAAGTAACGGAGCAAATTACTTAAGATATTTATTAACAACGGTTATCCGAAGACATTCCTTAAACAATTAATTTACAACTCCCACTATTATGATGGACCATTGGATAGAGATGCTCCACAAAACTTTAAATATAAAATGTTGTCCTTCGTTGGTAATCTAACAAATATAATTACAGCTCTCTTCAAACCATACCCGAACATCAGAATTGATACGTACAGCTGTATTAATAACAAAAGTTTGTTTTCACGTGTTAAAAATAAAACACCAGTAATTTACTCTACAAATAAAATCTACAGGCGCATAGACACTACCAATACAATCTACATATTTAGGCTGCGAAGGTTTTGGCACGGAGTGCAGTGGGACGTCGAAGCTGAGCGAGCTGTACCTTTTACCGTAGATGAACTCAACGAAGCGTTGAGTGCCTTAAAGACAAGAAAGGCTCCAGGACTCGATGGAATACCACTAGAAGCGGTGAAACACATTGGCAGTATATAGCCGCCGTGACTTTTGGAAAGAAAACTTTTCCAAACTGGAAAGAAAAGTATCGACCTGTTTGCCTTTTGCCGTGCATAGATAAATTATACGAGAGGCTTCTAAGAGAGCGAATAGATACAGTGATTAAAGAGTCAGGCGGCTGTCACCTAGGCAGTACGGTTTCAGAAAGAATAGGAGCACGGTGGATGTGCTGACGGAAGTCTTTCGGCAGTTGCGCGGGGTGGAGATTAACCAGAGGTGGGAAATCCTACTGTTGTTTGACGTCCGGAATGCTTTTAACACACTAAAATAGAAAGAGGTAATAAAGACTTTACGAGAGAGGTGTCCGAGGTACTTGATGAATTTGGTAAGAGAGGAAAATTGTGGTAGAAAAGAAGTGATAGTTGACGTGACGGTTGGAGTTCCGCAGGGGTCGGTCCTAGGAGCCACGCTGTGGAACTTGGCATATGTGAGCCAACAATACGGAGACCTCGCTCTGCTGGTAGTGAGGCGGGACAGGGAGGACCTTATCTTTGGTGCACGGCGTAAATGCGACCAAGTGAGGAAATGAACTATAGTTTATTTTTATGAACGAGAGAGTAATTAGCATAATTTTAACTGGTACCTCCGACCACTCCATGGGCGTGCTCAAGATTAATTGAAAAATTACTTTGAATAATTGTAAAAAATAAATGAATTATTTCAGTGTTATAAAGTGTTATGTGTATGTAAACAAAAGTGACCTCTTTTATCACACACTATATTAGAACTGACTGGCCTACATTAAAAAGGGTTTTAAAAAATTTACATTTTTTTTAATTTTTAAAAATTACAAAAGAGAAAAAGAGTTTTTAAAACCGTCTAAGGTATGTTAAATAGATGAATAAAAATATTAATATAAAACTTACAGCTACTTGTTACAAATCCAAATCAGATTCAGAAGATGAACTTTCAGAACCAAGATTTATAATATCTGGCTCGATCATTTTATCAGTAATATTGTCCAGCTTCCACATTTTTTCCTCTTCTTTAATAGTGTGATTTACTGCCTTTTCCCAGTTTTCAGGTTTTACATTATTTACGGCCTCCAAAAACAACTGTTTAACACCATGAATTTTAAAAGTGGTATTTTTTCTTGAAACTTCACTCTTTATCTGTGCCCATACCAGTTCAATCGGGTTTAATTCACAATGATATGGTGGGGATCTAAGTACTGTCTTTCCACGATTTTTGGCAATTTCATCAATTTCGTATTTTTAAAATTTTTCTTTATGAAGGGCACACAACGAATAAAGTTCCTTTCATATAGATCCGGGATGGTACGTAATATTTTTTGAACTCAGCCAATAAAAAATGTCTTTTTTTAACCACTTGGTTGTGGGCAGTCCTTCTATAAGTCTGGAGTGATAACTTGCATTATCCATTACTATTACACAGTTCTTAGGAAGAAGATCTATCATTTGTTCGAACCATTCTTGAAAGATATCAGCGTTCATGTCTTCATGGTAGTCACCGGTACGAGTTGATTCAAAAGTTAATAAACCACCTTCAACAAAACCGTCTGAACTGCCAATGTGTACTACTATCAGCCTGCGTCCCTTTCCTGATGGTGGGTTTAAACCAGTAGATAAGTTATTTACAAAAGCGTGCCTTTGACTTGTAACAGTTTTATCCTGCCAAAATTTATTTGGTGTATGACCCTCGTTGATCCATGTTTCATCAAGATAAAATATTTTTCTTTTTTGGTTTCTCATTTCCTTTATGGTTCTTAGAAAATGTCTTCTCCATATGACAATATCGCTTCTTTCTAATAAAATAGACTTTCTGGGATTCTTTTTTCAGCGGAAGCCTATTTCTTTTAAAAGTTTCCATAACGTACTTCGACTCATTTCTGGGTAATCCTTATCATCTCGAACTGAGACAAGAACTTTATCCAATGTTGGAAATTCTTGTCTAAAGAAGAATTCATGCACTTTCCGTCGAAGTCCTTTAAAATGATATTCTATTTGAAATTTTGGTTTCCCTGGAGCATTACGTGCCATTTAAAAACTACCACATTTCTCTTCTTTAATAACTCTGTAAATCGTAGATTTCCCAACACCAAGTGTACTGCTAACTAACTCAACGGTCTCATCAACACTTTCACATAAACGTTTGTCTGTAAATGATTTAAAACAATTAAATATTAATGTTTTTTTCATAACTGTTAAAGGGCCAATTTTTCGGCGTTTGCACGGCATTTCCAAATTTTCCATAACACTAGTATACACAATAAACTGCACCTTGCAACTGAAGTACCTACTTTTAGTGAACTGTTAAGAATTTTGAATAGGTCACTTGGACCTTCCTACAAAATGGAAAAACCCACTATCACATTTTCTGTGGAATAAGTTATGTAAGAAGGTAATTATCTAGTCAATTACTGTCGTAGTTTCTTGGAATTAAAGAATTAAATGTTTGATTGTTGAAACCCTTACTTCGTGGAATGCACTCATTTCAGATAAAATAAAACGTTTTATTTTATCTAAAGAATTAAACTTTATTTTGCAATTAGGTAGGTACTTATTAAACTTTTATTGGTTATACATAACCAATAAAATAAACATCTTACATTTCTTGCAAATTCATTAGTACCTGTTAACCTCCATCACTCCGACACTGGCAACCTTATTTAGGGATTAGTAATCCTCACAACTATTGTATTCTATTCTGCTCCAACCTTTATACCTGGTGGTCATACTCAATTTAAAATTGTTTTCCTATATACTTCTGTAAACTTGTTGACAAATATCTGTTTTTCATTGAGTCACGCGTATCAACAGTTTAGGGATTTGCATACATAATTTATTGTTTTGTTACTCTCTCATACATAAAAATACACTATAGAACTGGCTGCGGGCAAGACCGAGGCTATAGTTCTCAAGGGACCAAGGCAAAGGGACGGAATAACATTCATATATGCAGGAAAAAGAGTGATTCCAAAAAAATGTGTGAGGTATTTAGGGGTGACTCCGGATCGAAACGGAAAGTGGGGGAGCACGTAAAGGCAGTGACACAAAGAGGTGCGGTGAGATCCGCCGCAGTGGGGGGGATCATGACTATTGGGGACGACCAATAGTCAGAAATACCTATGTCGATATACCTTTTTTTCTTTTCTGTGTTGCGAGACATACCATTACATTATACTTTTATTATTCACTCGCATTATCCTTTTCCATTTGTTCTAAACGTTTCAACGTTTGGCATTGCTTTCCCCAGGTAGCTGTAGGTTCCTCCGTGGTTATTGTTAGCTGTTGCCATGATGGAAACCATCAGGATCTTCTAGCTCTAACGCCACAAATTGGTCGCATAGAGTATGACGCGATAAGTTTTGATTAAAATTAATGACGGATACCGTTATGTTAAAAATCTGAAATTACGATGGTGTAGGTTTTGGATAACACTGAGTTGAAATATAATCAGAGAACTACGAACGCATTGAATGTTTGACATCGCATTGAAGTTTGACCAGAGAACTACGAACGCAGTTCTCTGATATAATATTGTCCTGATTGTAGTACTTCCGGTTTATACCGGGAGTGGATGTCAACTTTGTTATTTTAAATTGAACCTAATATTTTTTATTATATTTTTCCTAAATTATGCATATATGTAATTTAAGTGATGTGACTTTATCCTTTTAGTGATGTTCTACACCAGTTGTCTATACATCGTCGGTTTTTCAACAATCGGTTCAGTAGTAGTAATTAGTTTATCAAGAACCAAACATTCTACATCAATACCATGGATTATTAAACAACCTTTAATAGGAAAGATGGGGAAAATATTAGGATTGGATAACTACATACAACAAGTAAGTCGAATATTGCTTTACATAAAAGTAAGCAAATATATAATAAATATAATTCATTATTTCTTTCAGAACTCTATAATTATTTATTTGTTTTAATCGCAGTGTAGCTTTATTGGTCAACGAAAATTGATATGATCGGCCTAACTGTATCAGTTGGTATATGACGATTAAAGAATGGTCGAAGAAAGCCGAAAAAAGACAATGTATTGAGTGTAGGAATCGCTAATGAAATCGAAGTTTCGTATAAGCGAATTGTAGAGGCATTATATCTCTCTTGTCTTTTCCCCATTACTGAGGATCCTGATTTCTTCCAGCATTCCTAACAATTTTTCTCCATTCGTCTCTATGTACAGCTGCTCTGAAAGCTTCGCAGAATGAGTTTTCAGCTGAATTCTTAATTTGATCGAACCATCTATCGGTCATCGTCATTTTGATCTGCTCCCCATAACGTTTCAAGAAACAATTACTCTCTTCAAACCACCATCACCTCTGTGAACCACGTGACCGAAAAATAGCAGAATACGTTGCAGATGGACAACCTTTTTTAATCTCGAGTTGTTTTAGAATGGAAACGTTTGTCCTATGAGTTGTCCAAGGTATGAGCAGCATTCTTCTCCGGTACCACATCTCAAACGCATCAATTTTTTGCGCTCACGTCCGCGAAGAGTCCAAATCTCTGACCCGTATGGAAATATTGAGAATACAGGGGCATTCACTAGTGGCATCTTTATATTTTGAGAGATAGATATGTCTTTCCAAATTACTAATTGTCTTCTATATCTTTATTTACTAGTATTTCGAGTATTAGAAGCCAGTTAACAAATGGTTCTTACTTAGATGAATCGATATGATGTGGAATGCAGTTTTAGATTCCCCATGTCAGTCGATTTATCATCTGCTTGCTTTGCAAATTGTAGAAGACATAAATTAAAGCAAGAATCTAAATTTTGATTTCGAGCAAGTAGAAATCTTCGGATTTTTACTTTTTGTTTTATTTTTAAAATTGTTTCATGATTACTTGCTTTGACGGAAAATATTTGATTTAACGTTCAGCTGATGAGTCCCGCATGGACGAAATACGTATTGTAGCGTGATTAAATAAAACGAGCGGTTCGAATTTATATAAATATATTTATTTATAACTTTACAGTTCGGTACTCTCTTATCAACTAAACTAACTCCTAAGATCGTTACATATATAAACCAAAGTTACTATTTTCTAGAAAGTTCATACCTCTAGGCGTATACGTGACCGATTGTTCTCTTGCCTTCGAGGGATCTATCCATCGATGGTTCTCGATGCCGAGATGCTTCGAGACGCAACCGTTAGACGGGCCGCGCTGAATACATGTTCGTAACAGTATAAGCGAATTGTAGAAGCGCTATACGTGAAAAATAAAATCTCAACTATGTTTTCTATATCTATTTTCAAATTCCCTTTGACTTCTTAGTGAGAGCGCCCACCAAAGTGGCGTGGCAGTGGCAAGTAGCAAGTAGCACGCGTCTAGCATAATGTAACCAATGAAAACGAATGATTCAGTTTACACCAAAATGACAGTGACGTCATTCATTCTAATCATTCGTTTGGATTGGTTACATTATGCTAGACGCGTGCTACTTGCTGCTTGCCACTGCCACGCCACTTTGGTGGGCGCTCTCACTTAGGCTAGCTTTACTTGCTGATTTATTCAAACGCCTAAATATGCTAAATAATGAGTTCCAAGAAAGAATTAGCCAAGTACTCAGCCGCAAAAAATTACACAAAAACAATGGTAATTCTGATAGGTAGTTGATTTTCTCGTGAACGAATTGAACTATTTTTTTCATTATTTTACTTCTTCTTTGGTATATTCACTGTTGGGTAAGGGTTGACTCAAACTTCTCTTTTAGGCTTATATCGAGTGGAAGAAAGGAAATGTTTCTTTATGTTCAGTTTGAGACACCCTGTAGGGAAAACAAGATACAAAAGTGGGTATACATCGAAATATGTTGTAGTCTTATGTTTTGTGAACATTTGTTTTTTTAATTTCCCTGGCATCTTTAGAAACAAAAAAACAATAGATGGTTTTATTCTTTAACATGATGTGTTCTGAAACAATACTAAATTAACAATAAAAAATAACAGTTAACAAAAATTTAAAAACAGAAAGAAATATAATGTAAACTAAAAGCACATATTTCCCCCTCTACTTCTAATAACAGCGTCATATCGCCTATGCATGCTGGATATTAAACGGGTTATTTGATTTTGGTCTACGGAGTTTCAGATAGTAATAACCATACTTCCTATATATTATTGATGTTGGTGTTAATGTAACGCTTTCGTGATTTGTAGATAAGTTTTTTACATTTTCATTGACAGTCGAAGGCAGGAAATCAGATTCTTCGAAAACATCCGGCTTAAATGGATAGACGCCACTTATTTTAAAACCTTTGGCAGCTTTATCTACTGTAGCCACTTTTTGAAATATTCTGGCGCTTAATTACTCCACGTCGTATAGATATTGTAATCACTCTTTTTTTTTATAACTTGTCATATATAAATCGGATTCACGAGCATACTGACCCTTGATTTGCATAAAAAGTATTAAATCAAGTGGCTGCATTCAGTGACTGCAGTGAGATGAGATAGTCAGCACTACTATATGATTTTCTCTTGCTTTCAACACAACCTCAAACTGCTTATGGCTAATATGCCCGTCCAAGATTAGTAAAACTGGCTTTTCCTTACTGGACTTTGAATGTTTTATAAAAGGATCTAGATATTTTTAAAAATTCTCGCTATTCATCCAACCAGATCTATTAGCAAAACCGACAGCTGCTGGGGGCGCATCTCTTGATAGTACTGGAGCCAATCTCTTTCGAGGAAACAGATAAAATGGAGGAATGTGGTTTCAAGTCACTGAAAATGCACATACCATTGTTATGTTAAAACCTCTTTCGCCGCTAACTCTTCTTCTTAATTGCTTCGTGCACTTTTTACCAATATTTTAGTAGGTTTATGTAGAGTGCTTATACCTGTTTCATCATAATTGTAAATGTTTTCTGCCCTAAAATTGTAACTATTTGAAACTGTTTTTAGATCAAAATAATCAAAAAGATCAAAAATAATTGTGACTTGTTCTTTTAGTTTTATTAAATGGGTGCTTAATTTTTAGCCTTTCTGAAAGTTTAGAGGCTATCTGTCTAACATCATATAGCCTCTGAATACACATATATAACAGATGTGTTACTAGTAACTGTTCATTGGGACCAGAAAAAACAGGATTGTATTTGTCAAGCAAGGGCCTTGGAATGTTTCCTTTGGTTTGCTTCATTCGTCTAAGTAAACAAGTTTTCTATGTTTTAAATCTCCTACCAGCTTCTCTGATGCTTGTTCCGTTGCGCATTTCCCTAATAGCGGCTTCTACATCCTCTTGCGTCCAATCAGGTACATCACATTTTGTCTAGTAATTTCTCATCAGAAAAACAAATTAATAAAATCATTAAACTTTTGACAACAGGGTAATGGGGACGATTACGGGGTAATTGGGATCACTACGAGGTAACAGGGACCGTGGTCCTGTCTTCCTCTATATCAATAGTACCCATTACCCCAAATGTAACTATATCGGAAAGTCACTTATATTACTTAGTCAAAATGCATGTTTAATTGTATAATATCATTGGACACTTGGATTTTCTCAATATTCTAGAAGGTTTTGTACAACATATAATATTTTGGTAAAAAATGTCTAACAACTCACTAAAATCTCGATTTTATTGTTTAACTGCACAGCAACAAACAGCAAGCATCTGTCATTCAACATATTTGTATACATAACGATGGTGGTCCTATTTACCCCGGTGATACTTGCTGGCCCGGTCTCACCTACCTTGTCCTCCCTACAGGGTGTTTCAATCTTAACATGAGAAAAAATTTCTTTTCTTCCACCCGGTATAAGCCCGAAAGAGCAGTTTGAGTAAACAATTGTGAAATAGTATAAATACCAAATTAAGTGCTCTTCTCTAAGTGCTTTTTTGTCGATGGCTCAGTATTAATTCTGTTAAAATAATATCAATAATTAAACAAAGAAAAAAAGAAGACAACAACATGCGGTGTTCCCAAGCGGTCACCCATCCAAGTACTAACCGCACCCGACACTGCTTGACTTCGGTGATCGGACGAGAACCGGTATATTCAGTGTGGTATGGCCGTTGCCAGTTACAAGGGAAACAAATTGATACCAAAATGAAGTAGGTGACCAAATTGTACAAACGATTAAACAGTTATGCTTTTTAAATCTTCTTTACATTTACTTATGTGAAATTAAACTGATGCGTTTATCTCTTAACATGCGTTACTTACGAGTATAATAATAGGATAAATTTTATGCAAATTACTTTGGATAATGTATAGGTAACATAAATGCAAGCTACTTTGGACAATAGAAAACAACAGCTCTGTTAATATTTCCCCAAATAAATTCAAACCAGCCATGACAAATATAGATTCAGATACCGACTCCTTTTTTTGGACTGTTGAATTCTTTTCAATAGCTATCATTTCCAATAAAAATGAAAGAAAAAATTATTCAAATATACCTATATAAATAGGTCTGTTCATGTATATTATAGGCCAGAAGGATGCAAGAATACCCCGAATTGGCGAGCGAAGGCAGCGAAGCTCAGAAATGGTTGGTTCCGTTTGCAGCATCTTATTTACTCGAGTTGAGTTTCTCATCAATGACTGGTTTGAAAAGCCAATTTTCGGAAAACAGGCACATACAGCGCATAAATATGTATTTCTTTACATTGTAATGTATTTTTATGTAAAGTATTTAATTATTATGTTTTACGAGGTAGGTAGTCAAGTTTATGTTCCTAAATAAACAACAATATTATGATTACAACAATTAGGGCGTTATATTTTTATTTGATATGTTTTTATTTAAACTATGAAATAAACATTCTTGTAAAAAAATTTTTTTAATCATTTCGCGACCTCCAGATGGTTGCTACTGGTCGCTACCCACACTTTTGGAACCACTGCTTTAACTGTTTTGAATGCATTTCCGTATCTCTATTTATTAAACAGTAATCTTTCGCATTCTAACAAGTCTCTCTTTGTTAAATTGTGGAAGTTTTCAGATATATAGTCTTCGCATGGGTAATTTGTAGAAAGTTTTTGTAATTATGTAGTTGTTCTCTTGGCAAACTTGTATCAATCTGATGCCATTTTCAGGCAGGTATATAGGTACCCGCCTACATATTTTTCATATTTTCTTTTTCCAACTTCTGATCACAGATTGCGTTCTTATATACAAGAAACTATGCCTGTGGTCACCAGAGTCTGGACACCGAATGTTGCTGATATCTAGGATATCTAAACAACTTTATTGACATTAAACTTTCTTAGAATCAGGTTCTTTCAATGACAATTAACTTAAACAGACATAAAAATCATCCACATTCGATTAAATCTTGATTTATTCTAATGCTTTCTGCATGTAAGTGAATTTCCCATTCTTCTTCTAAACCAATTTATATTTAAGATACACAAACAATAACAATTATATGTAGAAAATATACAACGTTTACTTAACAATAAATATATTATTCAATAATAACCTATTTTAATTAAATTTATATTTTATTATAGAAATTTTACTTTACAAGTGAATGTAGCCATAATTTGAGAAGTTTCCACAGTTCAGTAATGTTTCATTGTTCGCTTTATCGTTTTAATAATGATTAAGCCTTTAGGATTTAGGATTAGGGTTTAGGATTAAGCCTTTTAGCATTCTACCGAGGTAACACCTTAAGACTTAATCATTTTTATCATAGATGATTTAAAAATCAAACTATATCCAACTTCTTCCAGTCTGGAGGTATATAATTCATGATAAAACTTCCTCTGAAGAGCGGTATGAATATGGGCTTGATTATTTTTATGGTCTTAATCAAAAACATTGTGGTTATCTCATTGCGTCTGACGGATTTATAGTCTCATGACATAAAATATTATGTCTTTATAACAAAAGACCGCATTTAAAATTAATAATAATCGATACAAAATCTTTTTATTTTAGGCTACGACTTCAAGTCACAGGGTTACTGCTGAAGAAATGAGAGATCATCCAGTGAGTGAATTTGATGACAGTAATAATAGTGAAGATAATCATATTATTAGGTCACATTTATCATCCGCCAAGCCAAGCATACAGAAGGACTGGATACTTTTGGCGGCTGCCATTGATCGAATATCTTTTATATTTTATTTTCTACTTTTTGTAATTTTATCGATTGTATATGCTTTGTAATAATAATATAAAATTAAATATGGGTATTTTTATTGAACAATATAAATGGAAATCATGATCTGTAATGGAAATAAAACGTGAACCCAAGATTATGGTACGTATTAAAAATAGACCACCTATTCATATTGTACCATTCATAGTGAACTAGATTATTCAGAAATAAACTTAGAATACCAATACACAATATGCTCAAAGGCATATGTTGATCAATTCTGGTAGATTATGGATGGGGTCGTCCATAGAACTGTGAAATGTAAGAAAGGGTAAATACAAAACAACAGAAAAGAAACAGGGAAGAGATCAACTCTTAAAAAAACGCCAATGTTTTTAATTGTTTGAATCCTGAAAAAAACAGAAAATAAAACATGGTACAATTCACTATATCAAAATATATTTAAAATATCAAATATCATAAATATCACAAACTAATAAAATAAGTTAATCAAATATATCAATCAATAAAGTTATAATATCATAAGAAACATGAGAACGGTTTTAATAACCAAAGTCCTCTTTGCAATGGATTAACTGTGGATTGAAAATAAAAAGATATGCAATTAAATGAGAAATTTAAATACGCAACAAGAACACAAAGCTGATCCATTTTGACCTAAACATGTTTAAAATAGAGACTGTCCAAAAAGATGAAGTAACATTTAATAATAAAAGAACTAAAAGTCCTTTCTAATCACAAATGGGGTGCAGGCAAAACTATTCTTATCACTATTATATCAAGCTCTAATTTTAGAAGCAATCTATCGGAAATACTACGGATGTACATATATGCTACGAAACTACTAAAAGTCAATTGAACAAACTGGATCTCATTTAATCCACAGATTGACGCATAATTTTCGAAGCTTTTAGAACAACGCCAATTAGCAACTTTCAAGTCCTAGCGGGATAACTGCCATTAATTCTTAGAAGGCAATATTTTTCAATGTGTTGTGCTACTTAATATCTCACTGCAAATAAAAACCTCTTCATAACAAGCTTAATAAGCAAGAGCTCTCCACGTCTGTACTCAAATAATCAGTGGGTGAAAGAACAGTACAACTCCAAAACTGTCATTTTAAGAAAATTAATAAACACCATTTAACACCTTAAGGCTGTTTTAGCAGTTCAAGCACACTGCGATTTGAAATGGGCGTATCACTTATATTTCTACACTGCTTACGTAGTAACAAATGCATTACTCTACATTCAAATTAGTTTTAACACGAACTAACTGACCGTACGCTCATGAGATTTGACGTCACGAATGCGATAACGGTGAACCTAAGAGACAATGATGAGTAGAAACTTATAACCTTATAGTTTTCCCTTAGTTTTTAGAGAGAATAGTTTTCCCTTAGGCAAAACTATTTTTAAACAATAAATACTTTCTTAATTGATGACAACATACGAAAAAAGATCGGACAATTTTTATATAAAATTATAATGTTCTTTCTTTCAAGTTTATATACAGACTGCCATATATCTAATTAAAAACGCAATGGTAAAAATGATAGCTAAGTAAATATAAAAAATGTAAACTAATCTTATTGCAAAGTTCATTAAAACACAAATCCTAGATCATCATTCTTAGGCGAATGACTGGAACAGGGCCGGCTTCCATAACTCACGTTTCACTATTAGATTTTAGTATTTTTTAGCAATTTTCTTCAAAGTTTGAACATGCTTTTCTCGATTATTACTGGACACAGAAAAGTGAAAAAAATCAACGATTACAGAAAAAAAATTCTTTTAAGTGATGGGCGTAAAAAGTTTGGTTATAATAGAACGTTAAACAGTGTAATCCAATTTTTCAACAGAAGTTTCAAAAAATAAAAAAAGTAAAACCATCATTTTAAAAGCAACATAGTTTCGAATATTGTGTCCAAATTTTGAGACATTTTGTCGGTAAATAACAGTTCCTAGGTTTTGGTGCACCGATAAAACAGCCTTAAACAAAAAACTTGTGGTTTTCGGATAGTTTCGTACATTGAAAAGTTGTAGCTTTTGTGCTTATTTATTAAATAGCCAAATAAAATTTATTAGCTAAAGTGCAAAAAAAGATATTTTCAAAAATGTAACGTGTACATGTACCTACTATTCTTTCACTCAATTACAAAAAAACACAATTCTGAAACTACATAGGTATATTGGTTTTATTTAGAAATATTTATTAACAATAAGGCTGAGCATCAAATAAAGTAATACTTTGTTTTGTTAACGAGGTAATATAGTAATAGAAGCCTAAATCCTCCATCCTTGCTTTATTTATTTGGACAGGTTCTGTATATGCTTTGTCGATAGGAAACTTGGGACTAACATTTGGCTTTACCAATTTAAATATATCGGAAATACTTCCTTCTCATGGACGTATAAATAAAGATTCCTTCTATATAGCCGGCTGTAGTAACTTAGCCTGGTGCTTCGCTGCATTATGTAAACTGTCTAAATTGGGATACAGTGAAATTAACTTTTTGTTCAAGAAACTCTCGTTGTGTCAAATAGATGCCAGTGTCATCAAAAATCTAACCATTGTATTGTTACGATTTTGACCAAGACACTCATCAAAAATAGTTTTGATAAATATAAAAAGTAGTTTAGTTATTTTCGAAGAGATTTTGTTTAAAATGTAAATCGAAAAAAGAAACCTTTTATAAATTTACCCTTCATGACACGTGTAAAAATGACCAGTGTTATCTTTTAACTTATGGATTTCAGAGGCATATACCCATAGCTGACGATAATAAAAAATTCCTGTGCCGGTATGTTGAGCAAGGATAAGTTTTGTATAAAGTCAAAAGTTATACCACAAACATCATCTCTTTCAGCACATAGTTTTACTACAGTTTGAATTTGGATATAGAACTTTTTTGCAAATTGTTTGTGCACCATTAATTGGGTGACGGTAATCCTTTTTGCATTACCATTTAGATGCGGATCTTTTAGCCTTATTTCAAGTCGTTCATATTCACTGCATACGTCCACTTGTGGTCTTCAAAACACAAATAACAATTTTCATTGAAATGCTTAGTATCTTACTCATTTTTTTAGGTGTTGTCTCAAATCTGGCTATTTTTAATGAAAAGTTCGTACATAGTATCAAGATAACAAGATAACTGCATTACTTTATAACTGGTGTTTTATCACAATCTTTTCTAATATGATATCGCAATATTGCATTTTTTACGATATTTTGACTGCTCTTTCAGCGTCGTTTAAACGTTTTGGCTTCGATAAGATCCACTAAATAGATATCCTGTTCATTCTTGGACTTAATTTCAAGGAACTTGGACAATATGGCTTCTGTTTCCTCTTGTGTTACGCTTTCTGTACATCTATCATGGCACCTGCAAAATTGTATATTGAGTATTTGTAATGTACGAAAAAAATTTTTGGTTTTCTTGCACAGAATTCTATATCTAATCTTTCCTGGTAAAAATTTAGGTTACCAAGAGAAAGCAGGTAAAGAGGTCTTGTATCCAGGACTTCCACACGAAAAGCATTTGGCCTGGAAAGGGATAGGGATGGTCTGGAGCATTGGAGCGCGGTGGAGTGGTTCTTGATAACATTAATCAATACACTTCGCTCTAATAAATTGTATCAACCAAATGTCATTCTTAAGGGTATGCAAGTCTCTTAGACTGGGTTAATCGAATTGCTTGCTTGCGATATTGAAGCGCAGAGAGTTACTTATATACTGTTCTTTTGCTCACTGAAACTAGAAACTAGAAACTTACCTTTAAATGAACGCACAATCCGATTTGAATACGATATACATTAATTAAGAGCCACTTCTACAAAGAGATGCCAGTCTCCTCTCTAGAAAGTTCAAATACCAAAAGTAGATTTTATCTTACTCAACTATGCCAAACATTCACACAATCTTTCCGAAATAAAACACCAGTTTCAGTCTACCATCTCCAATTTTTTCTAATGTCTCCAAAAGAAGCAACGGTATAGTTGCTGCAGCTATTTTCCAAAGCATTATTTCTGTCACCTGCATAGACAAGTAGTGTAGCATATATACTGGAGAACTGCAAGCACGCTCCAATGCAATAAACCAATGTACCAGGAACTAAAAAAGGATACCCAATGGGAGAAAAACAACTTAAAATAATTTGCTATGCAGACGACGTGACGCAATACTACTCTCTTAAAGTGATTTACAACGTATGCTGCACCAATTTAATATAACCGCCGGAAAATTTAACATGGTAATTTCCACAAAAAAGGCAAAATGCATGGTTACAACAGCAAATTTACTAAGATGTAAATTGGAGCTGGAAGGTCAGATAATAGAACAAGTGATGGAGTTTAAATATCTAGTCATCACATTATCTAGCTACGGAAAGCTCAAAACCGAAGTGGAAGATGAAGTGAATAGAACAAACAGAGTCGCAGGCTGCCTAAATATAACAATATGGAGAAATAAAAATATCAGGAAAGAAACGAAAGGCAGAATTGACAAAACAGTCATAAGACCAATAATGACATACGCGACAGAAACAAGACCTGACACAGAGAGGACAAAAAGGATGTTAGAAACAGCAGAGGTGAAAACACTTGGAAAAATTGATGGTAAGACACTGTGGGGCAGAGCTAGAAGTACAGATATACGACATAGATGCAAGGTGGAGAACATCAAAAACTGGGTAAGAAATAGAAGAGTAGAAAGGAACGATCATATAAGCCGAATGACAACAAATAGAGTAGTAAAGACGGCAAGAGACGGTTCCCCAATAGGAAGACGATCGTTAGAAAGACCACGAAAACGATGGAATGACAACTTATTGGGGACACATTGAAAAACAGACAAAAGAAGAAAGAAAGAAAGAAAAAGAAGAAAAAGATTCTCTGTCAAATAGATATAACCTACTCATGCCAATTTATGGTTTGTTTTTTAACCAGGAAGAGTAATTCAAATTTACCGCGCCGTAATGCTTGTTTGTAATTGGTCCAACCGCAGGCAAGTTTACTAAAATTACTAAATTATTATAATAAAAGCACTAAAGTATAACATTTTGACACTAATGACATTTTAAAATTTAAAATTTATATCGATTTTTTGTTTTCTGCGTTATTTGTTTAATTTTTTAGATTTTTCGTTTGCATTTATATAAAAAACAGTCCTTTTCAAAAGTATTTAGCGACGTATTAATATTATTAAGATAACAATATGGATTCGATGCCAAGTACTAGTGGTAATTATCCTTCTCCGCCTAAAAAACACCGAGTAGATTTAGGTCATTTATCATCAAATGAAAAACAATGCATTATAAACATGTACAAACAAATAAAATTTGATAATCCTGGAATAAAAATAACTGCCATGGTAGCAACAACAGGCAACATGTTAGTTTTACAGAATAGTTATTATTAAAATCAAGACCTACTAAAGTAATCTGCTAATTTTAGGTGTTTCGAATTTAACTATTTACAGAACAATTAAGGAATATAAGCAGACTGGAACAGTAAGATGTCCTAAAAATATTGGCGGTCGACCTTATATTCTTGTAACATACGATGAAAGACTTAAAACATCTGTACGACAGATAAGTAGTAGGCACACAGCTTCTTTTTCAAGAATGAAATGTCCACTTTAAATAAAATTTTAAGTGAAATAAAATGAATATTTAATTTCTTCTACAATGGGATAAATAAACTCTAAAAATTCTTCAACTTCAACCATAGCACAAAAATGCGTAGAAAAAAAACAACATTCTTATGGGTACCCTCCCGTGTTGGGATAATGGGTAATGAAGCGGCTGAGAAAGCAGCAACAGAAACTGTCAATAAGATGATAATCCCTATAACGCAAAACACACCATTTTCAGAACCAGAACAAAAAACCTTCATTAACAAAATATTGCAGGAAAATGGAGCCAAACAGAAGCAAAACTCTCAAAAAAAACCCTCAGCCGTTTTGTCACAACTGTCAAATACCAATTTCAATGCAACATATAACGATAGACTTTCCAGTGCGTTCAACAGCAAGATTGACAGCAAAGATTTCTCAATAATTGTAAACTGTATAACAAATTGTAAGATTTCACAAAATTTTCGTGTTGTTTAAAACTGGTATGTAAATATGTTATGTGTAAAAAACTTTTTCTAAAATAAACCACCCCACTAATATCCATAGGGGTTGATGCACTTAAAAAAATATGATAGCTAACTTTAGATGTAATAATAAAATGAAACGAAATTAAATAAGTTTTCTCGCTTTCAATTTAATCTAGTTCTTCCCCCTCACTGATCTGTTTTAATGTAAAGAGATGATTTGAAAACAACAGGAAACATTTATTAAATTACAAATTACTTGGTAAGTAAGTGATATAGGTATTAAAGCGTGTATGAATAGAACTGCTAAAATGATACGTGTTTTGATAATTCTGTCAATATGTACGGTTGGTTATGGATTATCTTCAGGTAAGAAATATGATAAGAAATTTAATAAGATAAGAAAAAAATATATTTAGAAAGTAAAAAAAAATTAATGACTTACAATACTAGATTTAAGATACAATACTAAATTTAAGATTACAATAGATGCTCAAAGTGCCCTCCATTATTATCAAGCAGAAGTAATATCTTCGTCTCAAATTTTCTAATGCGTCAGATATTGTGTTATTATGACCATTTAAATTTTCAATTTCCGCGCGAATTTTTTGCCGTGATAGTGTTAATATTTGTATTTGAATCAAAATGCACCTGCCGATCTGAACGGCTACGACATTATGTGGCGGTGTTCCATCTTGTTGCCATATCATACTATTTAATTGATTTTGTGTATAATTTTGATTTAGTAACTCATCCACTTCTGTAATGATTGTGTCCAAATATGATTCCCCAGTTAATTTATATTCATAAAACAATGGTCCAACTATTTTGTTTTGAAATATTCCGCACCACACATTTATTGATTTTCTACGTGACTTTTTTATTTGCTTAATTTTTCTTTTTCTATTATTTTTCTGTTCCCACGAATACCTATTTCTTCTATTAAAAATGCCTGAAGTTGAAAAATTTGATTCTCTGTCCATAAAATGTTATAAAAATAATTAGGATCATTGTTCAAATTTGTAAGCATGTCTTGACAGAACTGTAAACGCATTCTCTTACGAACATCGGTAAGTTCTTGTACCGGTAATATTTTGTACGGCTTAAGGTCAATTCAGACACCGCCGAACCGAACAATCCGTCATACAAAATATTCTTTAATACAAATATGTTGCCGGCATTCACACTCATCAGTTGACAAACAGTTTCCCAGCTGTCAGATAGTTGATAGTTCTGTGACCAAATAGTACCGGTTCGGCGCCGAGACTATGACGGGACTGATGTGTCTGAATTGACCTTTATAGTTGTGCTTTTTAAAACTTTATGTATCGTCGCATGGCTTTTCTCTAATGCATTAGTAGCATTGTTTAGACTAGTTTCGGAATTTTCTAAAATAAAAATATTATTATGGATTTAATCTATTATTTAAGTATTTAATTTTTACCTTGTAAGCATGTCTTGACAGAACTGTAAACACATTCTCTTATGAACATCGGTAAGTTCTTGTACCGGTAATATTTTGTACGGCTTATAGTTATGCTTTTTAAAACTCTATGTATTGTCGCACGGCTTTTCTTTAATGCATTAGTAGCATTGTTTAGACTAGTTTCGGAATTTTCTAAAATAAAAATGTTATTATGGATTTAATCTATTATTTAAGTATTTAATTTTTACCTTGTAAGCATGTCTTGACAGAACTGTAAACGCATTCTCTTATGAACATCGGTAAGTTCTTGTACCGGTAATATTTTGTACGGCTTATAGTTGTGCTTTTTAAAACTTTATGTATCGTCGCATGGCTTTTCTCTAATGCATTAGTAGCATTGTTTAGACTAGTTTCGGAATTTTCTAAAATAAAAATGTTATTATGGATTTATTCTATTAATTAAGTATTAAATTTTTACCTTGTAAGCATGTCTTGACAGAACTTTAAAACGCATTCTCTTATGAACAGCGGTAAGTTCTTGTACCGGTAATATTTTGTACGGCTTATAGTTGTGCTTTTTAAAACTTTATGTATCGTCGCATGGCTTTTCTCTAATGCATTAGTAGCATTGTTTAGACTAGTTTCGGAATTTTCTAAAATAAAAATGTTATTATGGATTTAATCTATTATTTAAGTATTTAATTTTTACCTTGTAAGCATGTCTTGACAGAACTGTAAACGCATTCTCTTATGAACATCGGTAAGTTCTTGTACCGGTAATATTTTGTACGGCTTATAGTTGTGCTTTTTAAAACTCTATGTATTGTCGCACGGCTTTTCTTTAATGCATTAGTAGCATTGTTTAGACTAGTTTCGGAATTTTCTAAAATAAAAATGTTATTATGGATTTAATCTATTATTTAAGTATTTAATTTTTACCTTGTAAGCATGTCTTGACAGAACTGTAAACCCATTCTCTTATGAACATCGGTAAGTTCTTGTACCGGTAATATTTTGTACGGCTTATAGTTGTGCTTTTTAAAACTCTATATTTTATATCGTAGCACGGCTTTTCTCTAATGCATTAGTAGCATTGGTTAGACTAATTTCGGAATTTTCTAAAATAAAAATGTAATTATGGATTTAATCTATTATTTAAGTATTTAATTTTTACCTTCAAAGTAAAGCAAAATATCATTTCCTACGATAGTACGTTTCTTCCGTTCAAACATTGTTTATTTATGACATGACGATAATTATATAAAAATTTATTTGCAGAAGGAGTCTGTCGATCTGGATAAATCAGCCTATATTCTCTTCTCGCCGCTTGCTTGTTTTTATCATTTTTTACATAAATTGAGATTATATCTACTTTTTTATCTGCAATATAATTCATTTCGATATGAGGAGCCACCTATGGTTACCCTTTTGTAATACCATAATGCCAGTATAGAACAAAACTAATGCTACACAACGTTATATATTAGTAATCAGAAAATGTAGGGGCTACTCAAAATTATAAAAATATACAGGGTGTCCCATTTGAAATATTGAAGATGCATTTTATTGGACACTCCCTATATACAAATTTGGTCTGTTGCTACATTATTGGTCGGTACAGATAAAATAATAAAACTTTTATTTAAAACTTTTTTTTGTATTTCCGTTGTGTTGTACTAGTAGATATTTACGATCATTTTGACTATTCATAGAGGTATTTCTCTTTTGTACAATAAGTGAATAACGTCCTTTAATTTGACCCTCTCAAATGCTTTCTTATGGTGCGCGAAATATAAATATGGCGGTTTGTTGTATTCTAGTGATTTATCTTGCATTTACCTTATTATAAATATAGCGTCGCTACCTACATGATCTTTCCGACCTAAAACTTCTTCTGCTAGTGTTATAATTTCATTCAGGTTATTTGTTATCACTATGGTCGTCAATTTTAGTGTTGTAGATAATATTCCTCTGTTGTACTTCGATCTTGATTTGTGTCCGTTTTTGAAGAAATGTATTAGGATGCTTAATGTCCATTCTTGTGGTATTCTGTTTTGTTCTATTAGTTTTTAGGATAATTTTAATAGTTCTTTGGTCAGATCTGGTCCTCCTTACTTTAGGAGTTTTTTTGTGTTTTTAAATTTCATTAATGCTTCCTTTACTTCTCGCTCCTCCAGTTTATTTCTTCGTTTGTTGTCACTTCTTGTATTGTTGATTCATTGTAGTCACTTTGACAAATAGCTTCTCGACAAGTCTGTTGAGGAGACCCTATACATTATAAATGAATTACCTACTTATAATAGTATATTACATAACGAGAGTTGTAAGAAGCTTATTACATGCGAGTAAAAAAGGTGCGCGCGAGCCGCGTAGCGGCGAGCGCAGTAATTTTACAAGCATGTAATAAGCTTACAACTCAAGTTGTGTACTATACTTTTTCTACGATTATTTTCGTTTATAAAAAGAAAAATTAAATTACCACTATATTTACACTGACAGTTTAATAATTTTTAATCTGTCAAAATAACGTCTGTTAATAAGTTTCCATGGTAACTCGACCAACTGACTTACGAGGCTTATGTGATATTACACATTTTTATAAAACTGAAGCGTAATTTTTTTTATTACGTGCTAGTCATTACGTGTCAGTATCTGTTATGATGCATTTACTTAGCATCCAAATAGTAGGTAATATACAATTTACTAGTAAGAGAGTAGAAAAAGAAATTATCCCGCTTAGAACATATTTTATTGTAATCAACTTTTTATAGAGATCGGAACTCTGTCAATGTGGACTGCAACACAGTGCGACAAACTTCGTCATGATCTACTTTTGAATTATGATAAGTTTTCTAGACCAACACATCATTCAAACACGACGAAACTTCGTTTTGGAATTACCATTACTCATGTTGAATTACAAGAATTTAAATCTACTTTAGCAGTACATGGATGGATAAAAATGGTAAGTTTTAAAACATTTCTTTTAAATATTCTGTTTATATGAAATTAAGCAACAATTGATTGTAATGAAAATTACATTTTATCATTATTATTTGACGTTTCGATTTACACTCCGAAAATCGTTTTCAAAAAAGATTGTATTAAAATAGTAAACTTAAACCACAATATTAACAATAATTGTTTGGTGGTTATTGTTTTCTAAATGGACAGGTGACTTACTTGGCCCCAATTTTGTAGGCAAATAGCCATGCTTTTAGTTTAAAATTCTTAAGGTGGTGTTTGTACTCTCAGATTGTTGATTTTTCTCTTTTCCATATCTGTTTCTTTCATGACTATTGATGCACCTTTCCATTGTATTCTGTGCTCATTTTTTTTTTGGCAGGCATATTTGCATATCTGTGATTTGTAAGTCTCTGTTTTTGATATATGTTTCATGCTTTTTAATCCTGACACTTAGTGGCCTTTTGGCTTCTCCCATATAAAAACTGTTACATTTACAGGATATTTTATAATTGCAATTATTTCATCTCTCGTGCGTGTTATTAATTTTGGTTTTGAAAAGAATAGGTCTCAGGTTATTAGTTGTTTTGAATGTGGTTGTGATGTTGTACACATTTCCTATCTTTTTTAATTATTCTGAAATTTTCACATGGTATTGTTGTCATCTTGTTGTCATTTATACATGGTGTTTTGTTCTTTCCTTTCTTCAATATTGTGAGATTCCTTGTTTATAAATGACCACATTTATAAATAACCTAATCATTTTTTGTTAAAAACTTTGTTCTATATTTTCATTAGATCAGGATACAACGATTTGATAATTCTCTTTTTGATGTTTATGATGTGATTTGAGTGGTAATCTAAATATCTGTTGGTGTGAATTGGTTTTTTTGGAACGTTAACTTTGGATGCAAATATCTTTTATCTCTAAAACCAACCCAAATATAGCCTGATTTAGGAAGCAGCTAAGTCATTACTGGATTGCAGCTATGGAGGAATATATTTTTTCATAGGTTCAATGTCGGACCTTTACAGGCGACAACTACATATTGGTTCAATCGTCTGTGCCACTATGATCAAGAAGTCAAACGTAAAGCCAGTTGATTACCTATTTCAGTACACCTTGTGGCAAATGGCAATTCGTGTGAATGAACGTAATAGAGTATTATGTGACCTGGCAACCAGCAAGCGCCCCATGTCGAGTTTAGGTCGATGGGTGTGAAATGGACAAACGGTCAGATGGATGTGGACAACCAGGCTACATGTGCGAAAAACTAAAATTAACTACAAAACACTGCCTTTGAACATGAAACGTCCGAGGATTGTTAGATTTGTTGAGAAACTACATTTCTTGGAGCAAGTGCATATATACATGTATGTATACATATATATATATATATATACAGTGCTAGTCAAAAGTCCGTTCCCCCCCTCGTATCTTTTGAATGGTTATTGTTGTAATAGTGAAATTTGGAAGGAGGTAATAAACAGACGTAGGCTTCTTAACTAGTCATAACAGGTGACGTAATAGTGACAGATGACGTTACAGCGCCACTGTGACAGATAATTTTAAATGGGACCTTATGGCAAGTGGTACCTCGTTTGAAAGTCATTGAAAATACCTATTCAGTCATAATATTTTATTTAAGTTTAAGCTCATTTTGAGAAATAAATTAAATACTAAAATTATAGTTTCGCATTTAATTAATAAATATTAAAACCTCTGCCTCTGGTTACTTGTCAAAAAGTTGACGTTTTTCAATTCTTTAATTGTTTTTACGTCAACGTCAACTTTTTTAACAATTAGCAAAAGGCGAACGTTAGAATATTTATTGATTAAATGCAAAACCATGATACTATGACTATAAGATAAGATATTGCGCATGTTTTTGTGACGTCATTGGAGACTTGTCAGTTTGTCAGTTTTTGTATATATCAATAAATAATCTTTAATAAATAGTTTGGAGATATCCTTATGGGTACGATTATTGTAATTATTAAACCTCTTAACTTATTTTCGTCTAGTAATTTCATCACAGAATGCATACAAATCTCATTTAACTTTAACAAGAATTCAAATTCTCGTCTCCAATGACGGCATTCGCGAACCCGACCGATTTTGAGCTACGGGAAGATCCTGTCTTGTTATTCATAGTATCATGTGCAAAACTACAATTATTTTAATATACCTATTCAATGATCCTAATTTTGTTTGGATTTAAGATGCTTTTGACGAATAAATTAAATAAATACTAAAATTCTAATTTGGCATTTAATTCTAACGTCAGCCTTTAGTTATTTGGCAAAAAAAGTTGACGTTTGTCAATTCTCTAGTTGATTTTAGTTTGCAAAAGCGTTTATAGCCCAATATTTAATTTCTGTTTCTACTTAGTTTGGTCAATCTAAGTTTAGTAAAGTTGTTTTTAGTTAGTTGTTCTTATTAGTTAATATTTAGTTTAATTATCGTTTAACGGGACGTTTAAATTTTTACAAAGGCAGAATGGTACGTACTGCAGCTGTGATAATTGGTGAATGTGAAAATAATTTCCATGCTCCGGAACGTCTGTTTAATGAAAGGTACCCCGATCGCCCTATATCGAGATCTTATTTGAGAAAGCTTTTTCGGAAGTTTAAACAAACAGGTAGTGTTCAAGATGTCAAACGATCTGGTCGACCAACAATTAGTGATGACAAAAAACTGAATTAGTCGAAAGACAAAGTACACTGAGTGTTGGCTCAAAAAAAATTTCATTCATACAAATTAAACACTGTGCACCAACTTTCAGATGATGACCCCAATCGAAGACTAGAATTCTGTGAAAATATGTCCAATAAAATTAACCAACAGCCCAATTACATAAAAACAATTTGTTTTAGTGACGAAAGTACTTTTTCTCTCAATGGAAATGTTAACACACACACAATGTGCGGTATTGGAAGTGACACATATCCTCACGTCTTTCGTGAAACACATACTGAATTTAAAAAAAAATAAATGTTTGGGCAGGTATTTTGGGAAACCACATGGTTGGGCCTGTTTTTAGCAATACTAATTTAACCGGTGAAGTGTATCTAGAGATGTTACAAAATACAATTGAATCATTAATACTTGAAATTCTGGAGGATAATCCAGATGAATTCGGTAACTTGGATATAACGTTTCAACAAGATGGTGCACCTGCACACCATTATGGTGCAGTAAGACGTTACCTAGATGAGGAATATCGTGGTAGATGGATTGGACGACGAAGTACGAAAGAATGGCCAGCTCGGTCACCGGACCTCACACCATTAGATTTTTTTCTGTGGAGATACTTAAAATCTAAAGTTTACGCTACAGCAACCGACAATATTGACATTTTCAAAGAACGAATTGTTGAAGAATGTGGGGCAATTTCCCCCTGACACATTTGAACGAGTACGGCAAGAGTTTAGAAATAGGAAGCATTACTGTCAGGAAGTAGATGAAGCACATTTTAAACACTTACTAGAAGAACTGGTTATTAAATATTTATCAATTAAATGAGAAGCTACAATTTTAGTATTTATTTAATTTATTCATCTAAATTAGCTTAAACTCAAACAAAATTATTATAACTGAATAGGTATTTTCAATACCTTTTAAACGATGTATCACTTGTCATAAGCTCTCATTTAAAATTATCTGTCACAGTGGCGCTGTTACGTCATCTGTCACTATTACGTCACCTGTTATGATTAGTTGAGAAGCCTACGTCTGTTTATTACCTCCCTCCAAATCTCACTATTATAACAATAACCGTTCAAAAGATACGAGGGGGGAACGGACTTTTGACTAGCACTGTATATATATATATATATATATATATATATATATATATATATATATATATATATATATAACTGTTTTGGATGGGTTGGAGTCAATAAAAGGGGCTATTTGTTGACTAAGTATTTTTTACTCGAGCTTTCAATTGTGATTACAATTATTATCAAGAGCTTATAAAAAATACAAAATATCTTACAAGGTTGAACTAGAAATAAAATTTTTTTTGTTAACTCACCAAATAAAATTAGGTTTTTATATAAAACTATATATATATATATATATATATTATATATATATATATATATATATATATATATATATATATATATATAAACTAGAGCTAAGATTAATATTATTACTAAAATTAATATCAAACTCACCAGTCTTCCGGGTTGAACCGCGTCGTTGTCCATTTTGCCAAGCTTTCGGCATCCTCTCTGATGCCTTCCTCAGGGCTTCCGAGGTCTCAGTCTCCCGAGCCCCCAAACACTACTACACTGATCACTATTCACGGCACTGTCACTACACTGTCACTACGTGAATAGTGATCAGTGTAGTAGTGTCTGGGGGCTCGGGAGACTGAGACCTCGGAAGCCCTGAGGAAGGCATCAGAGAGGATGCCGAAAGCTTGGCAAAATGAACAACGACGCGGTTCAACCCGGAAGACTGGTGAGTTTGATATTAATTTTAGTAATAATATTAATCTTAGCTCTAGTTTTTATTGTACTAACCGCGGAAATCTTTCCGAACATATTATATATATATATTATATATATATATATATATATATATATATATATATATATATATATATATATATATATATATATATATATAAGTAAAAGAAATAATAAACAAAACTTACTCAAAATCAGTTTAATTTAACTATCTAGACGATCGGTTTCGCTTCCTACAATATTCAAAGAATCTTCAGGTCTCGATACAAAGTTAATTAAATGCTGAAATAATAAAACCCATATTAGGGTGTTGTCATATAAAGATAAACAAAGATAAATGATATAAATTACAGTAATTATGCCAATATTACATGTCTGTTGTTTTCCAAAATGAATAAACTGTTTAAACAGACAAGGTAAGGCCCACAAATTGGTATAAAAATAGTCTATTAAATTGTAATAAATTAGTAAATAAATAAAACATTACTTACATGCCGGTACTCTATTAATTAATGGTTGGAAGAACATGGTTCAAACTATCCTATATTGCTGAATGGAGAACTTCATTTTTTACTATTTTATTGTATATTGTGATCACAGGTGTTTATTACAATATTTGTTAATATCTTGTTGTGTTGTACTGTATCTAATGCTTTATCATAAACAATGAATCATGCATAAATATCACAATTCAGATCTCTACATCGTTGAAATAGCACTTGTACGCTAAAGAGAGCCTTTCTCGTACCCACTGCGTTCCGAAAACCAAACTGTGTACGGTTGATTTTTTCTTCGCATAGTCTATATATCCTTTGATGTATGATTTTTGGAAATAACTTTAAAATTATGGCTCATTAAGCTGATGTTACGGAAATCATTGCATGATACGGATTTTGTTGTCTTTGGTAGAGCAATGAACGTTGACTTCAGCCATGATCTTGGTATTGCTCCGTTTAAATGTCATTGAATATTTTTATTAGTCGTTGAGTACCGTCGGTGTTAAATAGCTTTATGCGTTCAGCATATGCATTGTCAGGTCCAGGAGCTTTGCCAACTTTTGGTTGTGATATTGCTTTTTTCACTTCATCTGATGTGATTGGTAAGTGTTCATCACAGATGTAGGACGGAGGTTGTTCGGACCTATTATCATCAAAAAGTTCTTGTATGTAATTGGCCCATATGCATGTTTCTTGATTTTTATCCGTGATGATGTTCCCCAGTTGATCTTGCAGTTTAGCCATCGAGCAATAAGACAAAAGAGGGAATCTAATCGTTATAAAAAGGAGACCAAAAAAGTGGCCTCTGATGGCGGACACATCCGGAAATGCAAAGGCGCTAAATTTAAATTTTCCAACATTTGTTAACAATAGCTATAAAATATTTTTCAGACTAGAAAGTTTTAATTAAATATTAACGATAATAGTCTAAAAAGTGACATAATTGGTAAAAAACTTCAATATAAATAAAATTTCATGTGACAGTTGGGACAAACAGTAACATAACCAAACTAAATTTGACTTCTTAAACAAGTAAAGAGACTGTCTATCCTTGTCTAAAGTGGCCTCTCAAGATGGCACTTCCTGTCTATCAATATGTTTACCCCTTCTACCTTTACATTCCCTCTTTTGTCTTATTGCTCGATGAGTTTAGCTGTATTTGATTTTTGAAGACCAGCTGCTTGTTTTACCTTTTTATGCATATAGTCACATACTAAGAAATGAAAAATATGAGTTGATGCGATTGGCTATAGAAGGGAAAATGGGGGGAAAAGGATCGGGGAGACGACGCACGTCCTAGTTGAAAAATTTAACGCAATGAAGTCGAAAAACAACAATAGAACTCAACAGAACTGCTTTAGAGTAAAATGACCGTGATAATGGCCAATTTCCTTAACGGATAAGGCACACGAAAAAAAAGAAGAAAATAACTCGAGCTCCAAATAAAGGTCACCACCAGTTACTCTCCCTATACCCCTCTCTCCCTCTCCCTATCTATCTCTCTAGCTCTCTCTCTCTCTCTCTGAGAGAGAGAGAGTCATCATACCACACGCTGGAGAGAGAAATACGGATAGCAACCATATGTCGAATACCATAACGTCACCACATTCTTACGAACGATAAAGGACAGAGGAGGAGGACATCTATGTTTTAGTAAAAAAATCTAGATTTCTTATAAGAAAGCATAGTATCCGTTTAGGAGGTATATTTGACCTGATCAGACTGTAACAGAAACTACTTCAGATATTTATCGTATTAACGAACAAATATCCCAAAGTTGTAAACAAAATGTTTAGCCGTTTCCTCTGCATTTGAGTAGAATTTGCCAGCAAATATACATTTGACGATCATGCTCTAATAGAACTAAAGTCTGCACAAATCGAGCAGAAATCACTTCAAAATCCTCTTCCTTGCTGGATTGCTTTCTTACTAGACACGTGCCAGTCAAGGGACACCTATATATGATGAAATTGTTTCATGCAAGCTTAAGTTGCAGATCCTTGAAACAATCAAACATATTTTGCATGACTGCGAGGCACTAGTTTGAGGGAGCAAACACTTTCGGAAGATCACCATGTGACTCCAAAATATATAGTACCCATCCACTAGATCTATACAAGCTGATAAAGGGTTTTAGAATTCCGGAATTGATATCATGAATACATAGAGATTTAAAATAAAACAACAGTACGCAGTCCAACTGGTTTATAACTGACTATTTCCAGAAACAAAAAGCTGTCCCCACTTTGCCCCTTTTCATATAAATAATACTTAAGTCACCAGTGAGACAACCATCTATGATCATATTAATTTTCTGAAACTATAGAGAAATTTTTGCGTAACGAGTACAATATTATAATAACTTTTTTGCTTACCGTTTGTTGGCAATATTTTGGCAGTATAATGCACTAAATTTCTTTATGATTCAATAAGAGAAGTATTAGCTCCTTCTTAAGCAACATTATATATGCCATATAGCTATCAACAAATGTGTTATACGTTATACACTGGCACCCATAACATATCGTACTTTCTCAGTTACTTAAGGAAATCCTTGAAGCTCCAAAATCTTATGGACCACATTGTATACTTCGGAGTCTTTAGAGCAGTTTGGATGTCAGAGGCAATAAATATTCAGACCGAATAGTAATTCCTCCTGAATTATTGTACGGCTATTCCAAGTCCAATCGTTCAAAAATAATAATTTAATATTAGATTACTACTTAGCCCTATTCTTACTAAATTCATGAATGTCTTATTCCTACTCTTTCAATGGAGGATTAGTCAAACCAAGACCAAAAATAAGGATACCTACCTAATCTAAAATAATTCTCAATAAAAAACCTGAAATATTTATTTAATATGTTTTAAATATCATTTAATTTGTAAAATGTAATAAAAACTTTTGTTTTTTTAGAGGAGAAATTCAATTACGCGCCTTAGGTACCTTTGGATGCCTCTATGTTTCCTTCTCAGTTAGCTAAGTCGCGTTCCTTTTGTCTTTCCTCGTTTTTATACTGATCATGATGTGCGTTATTGCTCCATATACCACCTTCCACTTACGTGAAATATCTCGCAGAAAAAGACTGTATACTACACAGTGCAGTGTCACGTTCATTGAATAAACATCTCTCAGAATGTTCCATGCTCAGTGAGTAAATGTATCAGCCAACAGTCTATTGTGCATTTGTTTGTTTGAACTTTGGAGCTTGAGGTTTGTTTTATAATTAATTGAATATAACTAATTTTACGCAGGTGTGGAATGATGACAAGCTAAGATGGAACGCTTCAAACTATGGAAATCTTTCAGTGTTACGGTTAGCAGAACATGAATTTTGGCAACCCGACATTTACTTATATAATAGGTAAGTGACAACTTTTATACGATGAGGAATAATAAACTGTAAAAATTACTAAAAAAGAGTTTTTCAATAGATTAATTAGTATATTTAATTATATCAGTAAATATTTAATAAAAAAAAATAAACAAATGGTTAGTATTTGATATAGAAATCAAGAGAAGAATGGAACGCTCGCAACTTGGACTGACTCTAAGCGACAGGGTTAGAAACGAAGAAATAAGAAGAAGGACAGGCGTCACAGATGCCATAGAGCGCATGTGAATACCACGAGCAGACAGAACAAGCAGAGACAGACCACATATATGATGGACAGACAACGTCAGAAAAATCGCTGGGAATTGGTGCCGAAAGCATGTTCAAGCTGTGTGTAAAAAAGGTCGATTTCATGCACTAATTGGTGAATTTTTGAAACCTACTCTGTGTTATAAAGGGTGATATCAGAAACAACTTCCCAGTCTATGCATTAGCAAATTTTTGGATATTATTTAGTTAGGAGACTCTGAAGCGAGTGCTGTGTTGTGTGACATAAAGATTTCAATGAAACTGAGGGAAAAATTCTGTAAAACTACCATAAATCTATTTTATATTATGCAATTTTCATGCTATGCAAGACAGATTGTGCAACTGCGCATGCTTACGCAACATTTCCAAGCAATATCTGTGCTAGACGAAAAAGTAATTGAATTCGATTTTGCTCACTCTATCTGCTGCTTCAACTCCAGTACAAATAGTCGGGTTGTGACACCCGGACCATAGCCAACATTTTTTAATGTGTTTTTTGTGGAGTCCAGTGTAGAGTCCTTTGTGTGTTTTTTCATTGTTTAAAACAATTTAAAAAAGAAAAGAAAAAATAGAAGCAGCAATTTTCTGCTTTACACATGATCTTGTAATGATTATTTTTGCCTACCAACTAGGGTATTACTAGAAGGGGTTGAAAAATGGGGACAGAAATTACAGGGTTAGAGATAGGGTAAGCAAAACAAACCGAAAGGTTTGCGAACGGCTACTCAGGGTTTTTTTTGAGAGCTGGACCGCAGATAAGTGAATGACAAGGAGACTGAAATGGGGTAACTACAAAAATGAAACAAAAAGGGGTATTTATATGAATCTCCTAGACAAACACACCACAAGAAAGTTATTAAGTTATTTGGAAGAAACGCCGCTTAGAAGAATTTTCCTGCTGGATGAAGAGTTTTCCTGCTGGATGAAGAATGTTCCTGCTGGCTCTTCATTCCTAAAAAATATAAAAAAGGGTTAGAAACTTTTTAAAAGAAATAATCCTCTTTTTTTAGAGAACAAAAATTACATATTTATTGTTCTCTCACATTAAACAGTTACAAATATAAATAGTAATACAAAAAACAAACTTACAATGTTCTATCAGTTTACAACTCTGGAAGTTGGAGATACTATAAGAACTTATAATTGTTAATGGGCGATATTTTGTAGCAGACATAAATTATTACAAATAAAAAATATCTTTTTAAATGGAACTATGCATAAAAATTAACCTTTTTTTTAAATAAAATAAAATCAAAACAAGTCAATTATGATTAGGTAAGTGTCAATTGTCAAGAAAATAAAGCTAGCTGTCAGATTTCAATATTATTTATTGAGTTAATGCCTCGACAACTATGATCATTGGCATAGTACAGTCAGGTACCTAGTGTAGTGTGTGTATGTGTGTGTGTGTGTGTGTGTGTGTGTGTGTGTGTGTGTGTGTGTGTGTGTGTGTGTGTATGTGTGTGTGTGTGTGTGTGTGTGTGTGTGTGTGTGTGTGTGTGTGTGTGTGTGTGTGTGTGTAGAGTAATTGTCTTGATACTTAGCAAAGTCGACGTCATTGTCTTTGCTAAGAGACGCTAATTATTGTATCCGAACGTCTGCGGTCCCTCCGGTGAGTACCGATCGCACGTGGATAGAAATTATTTTCATTCAATAATTTTTAATAAACGAAAATTTCTCTACCCAAATGGGATTCGAACTCACGACCTTTAGGTTTAAAGGTAGGCGCTCTTACCACTGAGCCACAGAGGGGGTTAGATTTCAATATTAAATTTTAAAACTTTGAAAATAATTAATATGACAGCTAGGCCACACCCTAATATTTATGATTTCACTGATGAAGGTTCAACAAAAAAGTTAGCTGAATTTCACTAAATGTTTTTTTTTTTCTTCAACATTTCTGGAGTTGGAACTGGACTTAGGTTCACTGTCACACAAATAACTGCGAAAATAGTATAGAATAATAACCAGGGTCAAACAAAATGATGGTGAAAGCTGGGCACTGGGACGCAATCTTTAAAACTCGGCTTCTTAAAAACTTAAACACAATGGAACCATGTGGGTATCCTTCTAAGTTGTTGGAAACGCCGTTTTACAATTCTCTCAGATGAGAGACGGCATGAAACAAAACAGTGATTCCTCTTTCAAAAGATGACACATAACATTAAAGTATAACTCACTTTTTTACAACAAATTTGCCGGTTCCTCCAGACTACCCATGTCGCATCTGCTCTCTATAAAATCTCTTCCAAACTTCGCTTGTAACTTCTTCTCTTCCAAATTGTAACTATTTCCGATAACAAAAAAAAAACAATAAGGAAAAACCATTACAAATTAGATGAAAATTCGGACCAACACCGAAACCCACTACCCCTGACAGCGGCTCCACTGAGAGTGATGCCATTATCTTTAAGAATCATTCGCCTAACTCGGTATAAACAAAGCATAGACCAACATATTATGTTTATTTGACGCGCAAAATATCCTAATGCGGTATCTAGATCAAAAGAATACCAAGGAAATACGCATCTGTGATATACAAACAAACTTTAAAATGTTTTTATTATCAATTCCAGCGATGCAAAAGGATTGAAAATACTTTTTCGGTGTTTGAATACATACAAGGTGTTTTTAAATGCTAAAATCTCTCCTAGTAGGATACTTTATATTTGACCATAGCTCGGTAGATGGCTTTGTAGGCCGAAAGCACTCAGCTAGGAATTAAATGTTTATACAGTTCAAAAATACTTCCCGTTTCCCACTTTGGATCGTTCGCATAGCATGATTGGCACAGTGTGAAATCATCTAAACTAGACAGCCGTTCGGTGACGTCAGAACATCTAGATCTTTGTCGAGTCGCATTACTTGGAACTAAAATCTACTTGTAGATCGTCGAGCACGTGCTAAGTCGAGTACTATCTTCTAGATAGTGGCAGGTTGTCAAACGCCGATCATAAGCGTAGCAATGGCGGGCGTAACAGTACACAAACTGCTATTATCCTTAATTATAATTAACTTATCTTCTTCTTCAGCCTTCATTTATCCATTGTTGGACATAAGCCTCCTCCAATTGCTTCCACGCTTCCCTATTTTTTTCAATTCTCATCCACTGCTTTCCAGTTATAGCTGTTATATCGTCTATCCATCTCTTTTTGGGTCTTCCCACGCTTCTTTTTGTTTCTCGAGATCTCCAGAATGTCACTTTATGAGACCATCTGTTGGTGTATTGTCTTGCTACATGTGCTACCCATTGCCATCTCAATGTCGCTATTTTTCCCATGATGTCGGTTACTTTTATTCTTCGACGTATTTCGGTGTTAGGATTTTTGTCTCTGAGGCTGATATTTAACATGGTCCTCTCCATGACCCGTTGAGTTACTCTTTAATTATATTAATAAGATTAAATAATATTATTATAATAATATTATATAATTAACTTATACAAATAACAAATTATAAAAAGAGAGAAAATAATGTTCTAAATATTTTATAAAAATATCTGTCAAGCAAATGTACAGTATGAATTTTAACAGTTAGTTTTAAAGACAAATAATTTTATTTTTTATTGTTTTTAGTGCATTGAGCGCCTCAGTTAACCAATACGGCAATACTCACAGTTTAGTATATCCAAATGGGGAAGTATTATGGGTACCCCCAGTCCAATTAAATGTTCTTTGTCAGTTACATCTAAAATATTGGCCGTTTGATACGCAAGAATGTTCTTTAATGTTTGGATCATGGACTCACCATGGTGAACAAATAGATATTCAAAATTATAATGGTAAAGATAATAACTCAGTTATTGTCGAGGTAAGATATATTATATCCTCTAGTTTATTCTGCTCTTTAAATGTAAGCATACTATACAAATAGAATATATTTTGGTTAAGAAAAAACTTTAATAAATAATTTTAAAAATTCTGACAGCGCCAGATAAAGAGACAAGCAAGCCGCGCCAAATTTTGAGGGGCGCCGATATAAAAATACAATATTTTATTACATTCAACGTACCCGTAAAGCGAAATATTTTAGTATTATTTTAGACTGTATTACTAATATTAGTCATAGGGCACACCTTTTATTTACTTTAAGGTCGGTCTATAGATATTAATAAAAGTGACTTAAAAATCTAGGATCATTTTATTAGCTACCAAGAAATGAAGAGTGAACTACAGGCCACTCATTATATAAAATAATAAAACAATTAAGGAATTATTTTTAATTAAACTTAGATGAATGTAGAGGCAAAAGATGTGGCAAAGGCTCTAACACAAAGGAAAAAAATAAAGGTGTTAAAGTCGTATTTTTAAAGAAAATCCTCGTGCTTTTAATGCCATGGGGATGCTACACTCTCAATTTAGTCATTAGGGATGCAGCTATATCTTGCACAAAATCAATTTTTTTTGGTATTGTGCAGCGTTTATACGTAATTTTATCTCTTCCGTATGTAGATGGAAAATTTTAATTGACAATGTGCCTTTATCTTTAAAATCTTTATGCGATAGTCGCTGAGAAAGTCGAATTGATTGTATCAAACTTTTGAGATACCAAATAATTAAAATACGCGGTGCATTTTTCCCTGTACAAAAGAGGTTGTCGATTTATCTATTGAAAAATATACATTAAAACAAGTAATATTACTTTTTATAAAACTGGGTCCAACCATACGAAAGACAATACACAGCGTAAGAAAAAAATTCTTGTTCGCTATGGCAAAACATCTGGCAACAGATAATAAATTATTCAGAGAAAAAAGCGATAATACCACAAAGATATTACATGAAGAACTTAGGAATTATTGATTTTTAAAATAAAACGTTACATAATATATTGCAACAAAGAAAAAACCGCCATGGATGATATTGGAGTTGCTAGATAAAATATTTACTGCAAGAGAAACTACAAGAACAAGGATAAAACCACACACGTACACAAAAATACTGTAATAAAAGAGCAATATTAAATTTTACAAAAGTTTATACATCAAATTTAGTAGTTTTCTTAACATAGTGCTACCGAAAATAAAAATATATGATTTAGTTGAGTGTTTTTATCTTATTAATAATGAATTCGTATATTTTAAATAATTTTATAGCCTAATTTTATAAAAAAATAAAAGCAAAGATTATCCTGCGGACAAGATTCGAACTTGGATGGATTTCACCAATCTCCTTAATTAATAAACCATTTTTCCGATTTGACTTTAGAAATAATTGTTTCTAAATTTTATTGTTCTATTTGTTAATTGAAATTAAAATATAAAAAAAATGTAATAACAGAACTAAGTCTTTACTTGTTTTAGCTTAGTATGATTCTTGACAGAGAATGGAAAATTTTAGAAGCTATACAGAATGTCGACAAAAAAGAATATGAGTGTTGCCCCGGCGAAATATATCCTTATGTAAACGTTAAATTAACTATATCAAGAGTATCTGCTGCCTATAAAACTATGTTAGTGACGCCTGCATTATGTAAGTTTACTTTATCGATGGAAAATCATCGAAACACCAATCTATCTAAATAAAATAACTCATAGCGCCACCTACGTCATTAAACATTTTATGTTCTGACTCACTGATTGACACCTAATCTGTGCTATAAAAAAATCTACATGCTTTATTGATTCTACATGCATAACTACGCAAGATTTTTATTATAGTATACGTATTTATTAAATACATTTTTAATTTTCAGTGGTAATTCTTTTAACTTTATGGAGCTTCTGGTTACCGCCTCAGGCTAGTGAAAAGGTAATCTTAAATGGCTGTACAGCGGTTATAGTATCCCTATTTCTACTATATTTTACACAACAGATTCCAATTATCGGAGATGAACTACCGCAAATAGGTAAATTAAAATATCTACAAAAAATAAATAAATTTTAACTTTAAATTTGGCGCCATGGACGTATAAACATAGATGGACACAGCAATAAGATACCTTTAACACACAAAATTTTGAAGCTTCGATAGAATGTGATGCTTCCGCAATGAGCATAAGCGTGCTTGAATTTTTACTCGTGGGTTTTTATTCATATTTTAAAAATAGAAGTAGTAATAATGTATAAAAACACGTTCAAAGAATTAAAAAAAAAAGAGAGTTTAACTATTAACAAATCACGTCTTTATAGAAAAATTAAAATATAATTTTATTTGCTTTAAAATTAATACAATTAAATATAGTTGAATTCAAGTTAATTTTTTAATAGTATCAAAATAATGCTACAATAAAAAATCTTTATGTTTTCTCCTTAATTTGCTACGCAAATAGTTCGATCGTCAATATTATTTGGAAACCTACATATTAAAATAAATGAGTTTTATTCATTTTACTAATTTATTTGTATCCATGAGAAATATTAAATTAAAAAGGTACTAAACAGATCTTTTTTAATCAGATGATGTCTACTTACAATTTTTAAATGTCTACTAATTTCATGAAATCATATCTTATTCAATACATTAATGAACATGAATAAACCCAATGGTACGCCTATTAAAATGAAAACAAACACGCTTCTCATTTCCCCATCTTAAATAATGTAAATTGTATGTACTTACAAATGAAATGAGAGATCGGATGTAAATATTTCGTTTATTTTATTTCACTTTTCACAAATATCACTTAAAATACAGCCAAAATATCGAAAAATATCTTTTTCCTCATTTACTGTAAAACGTAAACAAACATGGAACAGCATTTGAAGTTTGACGTAGATTCATAAGACAGAGAAATGTAAACAACCGTTGCCATTTATAAATAGTTTTCAGTGCTTCTACATATAAAATAATTGATTGATATCTATTATACGCTATTATTAAATGATAATGCACACTATGTGCACACTTGATATTTTGATTACAATTAAATATATTAATATAACCAATAAATTATTATTTTGGTTTGACAGCACCTGTAGAGTATAAAATAGGGAATAATATTTTCAGCGACTCGCGAATAAGAAATTTTATAACAAAAAGTGACAACAGTTGAAGGTGCTGAGAATGTGACCTATTCAAATAATTTTGACTTCACAATTTTATGTGAATAACTGAGTTCATCTGTGTTTATACGTCCATGTTTGGCGCTATAAGTGCCTCAAGCGAACCTCGCGATCTTTTGTGTTCAACATCTTGATCGTACTCGAAAATGTCGAAAATGTCGAGTACGATCAAAACTTGAAAAATATTGTAATAGTTATAATTAAGGCAATTTTTATCTGGAAGATGTAATCTAGAAAGATTTGTTCGTAAGTAGTGACAATTTCACGTATTGTGAACGTGAACAGCAGACTGCTTTATTAAATGAGTCCGTTTTCTGTGAATTTTAGTCAGAACTTGAAATATCAACAGAGTAGGTAGTGGCATAATTTTGAGTTTGCTAAAGAAGGGTCGGCAGTGTTCTAGATAAATATTCCCTGCTCAAATCCTGATTTTACTTTCCTGACTTTCTTTTGAAGTTTAAAAATTTGTGCTTTTGTTGAATTGCCCCATATGATTAATTCATAGTTTAGGAGAGAGTAGAATAAAGAAAACTATGTCATTTTTAATGTTTTAAAGTTGACAACTCTTGCTAGTTGGCGAATAACAAATAATGAACTTGATAAAAAAAAAATTAGTTGAGAGATATGAGCCCAGTTTAGTCGATTATCTGTGGTTATTCGCAAAAGTTTAACAGTCTCTTTGTTATCTGGATCATTATGTAAATTACTTGCAGATATAACTAAATTTTGCGCTTTATCAGAGTTAAGTATGTGAAACCTCCGTTAACCGAAATAATTGGAGGAGGCTGTTTCGGATAACAAGAATTTCGGTTAAAAATAACATTGCTTTTTATAGTATTCTTGGTCAAAGAATACTATGAGGTGATTTCGTAATGTTTTCTAATAAGCAAATACAGAATAGAGAAATAAAATTAAGGAAAATGAACAAGTTGAACAAGCTTTTTTAATGAGATCTTCTATTTTCTTTGGCGTTTTTGTTTGGCAATGGTGTTTTGCAGCTATATCTCTCCATCGTTCATTTGCAGAACGTCTTGAGTTTTCCTCATTCGGTTGTTCACCGAAACGTAAAGCAATCTGAAAAAGACAAAACTTTATGCAATGACAACAAAAATTAAGAACCTAGTCGTGTCCCTAACTAATTAGGTCTACTGTATAAAGTTCTTACTTCTAAGGCATTGAAAATCTCGTCGGCGGTCTCGTGCTACCTGTTGTCTGTTGGGTCGTCGTCTGATACATTCTGGTTGTCTGGATGAAGAACCATATTAATGATGTCCTGGTCGATGAATTCACTTTCTGAGTCATCGGCTGCTAACCACTCACGTATCTCTTATTGGTCACATCCGGGCAAATTTTTTATTAAAGGTTTAATTTCTTCGGTCGTTTCTTTACCATTTTCTTCTTCAGGATCGTCAATCAGCATTTTTCCAAAGTTGAATAATGCCTCTATTACTCCCTGGTCTAACGGCTGAATTAGGCTCGTGACATTCGGTGGCAAAAATCTGACAATTGTCACCACTTTGTAGATTTTGGGAGTGAGTTGGCACATTGTCAACAAGCAACAATGCTTTCATGGGATTTTTTTTTATTTTAAAAAAGATTTTATACTTGGGACGAATTCATTTTCGAACCATTCTGAAAATAAAGTGGTCGGCATCCATGAGCTTTTTGGCTTCTTTAAAAAACTAGAAGTACTTTTTCGGAAATATATTTTAGAGCTCTTGATTTTTTTGATTTCCCAACAACATAGACATCAATCCGTTAGTGAAATTAATGGAATCGTTAACGTTTTGAGATAAAAATTTATTTTTTATTGACGAAATTATTGAAACTGTCAACCGTTTCGGTTTAAACGATGTTTCGATTAAGGGAGGTTTTACTGTAGTTTGTTTGCAACAAACTACGTGCTAGCTTTAGTAGAAACTTCGTCAAAGACATTTTCAAATCGGAGATATGACCTTTAGACACTACCGCCTGCTGTCTGCAACATAGATAAGAAGTTATAAGCTTAAGAGGGGTACCTCTGATTCCACAGTAATTTAATTTGTGGAGTAAAATGTGTGAAACGCAGACAAAAGCCTTCGACAAAGGCAAAGAAAAATTGCTATGCGATTGCCGCGTTCAAGCCCCTCAATTACCTCTCTCACAACATTAAATACCTCGTTCGTAGTAGAACGAGCGCTTCTAAATCCATATTGTGAGCTGCTAAAGTAATTATTTGACTCAAAATAGGAATAAAATTGTTCTTTTCTATCACTTTCCCCAAAGTTGAAACAATGCTTATGGGTTTGTAATTGTCTGTTTTCAAGGAGTCACCTTTTTTGTAAATAGGTAGTGCTTTTGAGTATTTGAGTACTTCCGGAAAAATTTCAGTTGATAGAATTAAATTAATAAGATGAGTGAAAGGTGTTAAAACTATTTGGTACTTTTCTTTTAAAATTTTGCTATTAATTTCGTCTACATCCCATTTACAATTGACATCTGTCAGTTTCACTTTCCAAACAAATCTTGTTTAGTGTGGATAATTTGTATTTTTCATTATTTTTTCATTTATTTTTATAGAATCTTTCCGCTTTTTGCAATATTTAAGTATTCTAATAGTTACTACAACAATTTTACAAGGTTGTGTAAATAATAAAGCACATTGTTTTATGCTAATAGGAATAAAATGCAAGTATCAATAAAGTAAGTTTAAAATTTCTTTAATTAAACTTTTAAACCATATTTCATAGAAATAGAACTCTGAATTATGATGGTATTTATGATTATCGTAAAAAACACTATACCTACAAGAAAAAGCAGCAGAGGGAGCAAAATGTTAACTTTATAGGAAATAAAAAGTCTTGAGATTTGACATTTCAACGTTTGTTTGGAAAGTAATAATGACAATGTGACAGTCGTGACGTCACACTCCTGCGGTCCATTACTAAGAGACTTTATATTTGTGAGACCTCTTCTTCGACAACGGGACGAAAAAAGGACTTGTGCGGAGAAGAATAATTTCTATAATTAAAGATGAGAACATCGATATTAATAGTAGGAAGAGAGGTCATTATATTCTCTGAAATTGTAGTAAAAAATTGATTTATTTCGTCTGGCGGTAGATCAGGTTATACCTAACTGGATCTTGTATTGTTTCTTTCAAAATTTACTATTTTCCAGCAGGCTCTAGATTTATTATTGGAATTAATAGTAAAATCACAATAAGCTGACATTTTAGCATTTTGTAATTGCCGAATATATTTAAATTTTTGTTGTTTATATACTTTGAATAAATTGGGATCCTTATAGTAGCATCTGCAATGTGTTTAATAAGAGAAAGATTAGATCTGTAAGTCCTTAACTCATTATTAAACCACTGCACGGGTGTTTTTTTCAGCAATTTTTCGTACTTTTTTTAGTGAAAAATATTTTAATATTCAGTTCTTATAAGTTTCGGTAAGAAAGACTGTTAAAAAATCAGGATCATTATAGTCCATCTTTGTAATAGCTAGCATACGTTTAAGCTTCTGTAAACCAGAAGAACTAATAAACCGTTGTGTATGACTGTTTATTAATATTACTATAAAGATATAATATATGAAAAATTAATATTTCAAGTTAATTAAAATATAAGTTTGGGATTAAAGAAAAGTGTCCTAAGGTACAATGATCTTCCCTATGTATTGCTTTTTGAGAATACCGGCGCACATACACTAATAACCTACGTGCCATTTTATCCAATAGACAAAGAAACCTATTTAGAGTATTCTAAATAGAAAGTAGCGGGTTATTATTCACTATACCTATATTTGAATTTTTCTCTAGATGAATTTTAACAAATTATTCCACATTTTTAATATATTTTCTCTTTTAGTTCAATTTTATGTGCACTTCCTGTTTATAAGTGGATATTCTATGATTGAATCAGCTCTAGTGATCAGTCTCTCGCGAGTAAATCAAGCAAAACCTCTACCTTGGGTCATTAAAAAGCCGCTGACGGGATTATTTGGTCATTTACTGGGATTAGGCGAATATATCAAACAGGTTGGTAAGAAAAAATAAGATATAATAAACTGCTTTTCAACAGTTAAAAATATTGTTAGAAGACGTTAAAGTAAAATTAAGTTTAAAACATGAAAGTTTTTAGCAATTCTATATTATGAAATAAATTGTCAAAATTCGTTCTAACACCCAATTCTTAAAAGTATTAAATAACTTCAAAACGCAACAGTTTTTGAGATAATCGAATTTTACAAATCAACTACATAATTCTGATTTAACTCAATTACTCCACGCAATGAAAGAAAAGTAGACAAAAACATCAATACTTCTAAATTTTGGTATAAAATGCCTTTAGTAAAGTTAATAGTTAACGAACTATTAAATAAAAAAATATATCAGCAGTATAGTTGTTATGTTGCCGAGAGGGGGCATTAGGGCCTGTGGGACCCATCGCCGGCTCTTCGGACTTCTTCCTGTACCCGGAATTTGATCGGGTGTTGACCATCTTTGTTTGTCGCTATCGAAAGGGTTAATAATCGCTACTGGTATAAAGTAACAGTTACCGTGACAAGTATCGGTTATAGGTAACAGTTCCAAGGAACGGTTACGAAATAACGGATCAAAGATAGAAAACAGAACAGGTACAATAATCTAAGTATTCCTTGACTTACGGAAGGAATCAAAATAAATCAAACGGTGTAAAAATATAATACAAGGTAAATGCTCCTAAGTGTTTCTTGACTTAGGACAGAAATATAATAGAAAGTGAAAATATGCAAATGTGAGAATAAAATATGGAAATATTTCTAAGTGTTTCTTGACTTACGGAAGAAACGGCTTAGAAAATAAAACATTCAAAGTATAAAAACAAGAAATGCAAAAGGGAAATAGATTATAGAACTATGTCTAAGTGTTTCTTGACTTACGGTAGAAACAACAGAGCAGAAAATAACAAGAGAATATGGTAAAATAGATGTACAAATATTTATAAGTGTTTCTTAACTTACGGAAGAACAACTTATAATAGAAACAAGAAAATCAAATACAGAAAAGATGTGAAAATATTGCTAAGTGTTTCTTGACTTACGGAAGAAACAACTTAACGAAAAATAGAAAATAAAATAGTCACTAATATGAAATAATATCTTAGATAAAAGTATCAGAAATAATAATGCAAATATGAAAATACTTCTAAGTGTTCTTTTGACTCACCGGAAAAGAACGACTTAGACACACAAATTAACAAGTCGAATAAAATAGCAAAGCAATATTTCTAAGAGTTCTTTGACTTACCGGAAAGAACAGCTTAGATACAAATACAAGAAAATAATCAATCAAAATAATCAAATAAAATATCAAACAATAAGTACATGAACAATGTGTAATATTCTAACCTGAAAAGGTCTGAATATACAATAATGCTAAAATAAAAATGGTATATAGGAAATCAGAAATAAAACAATAACTTAGTTGGAACAATAATAGCACCGACTAGGTCTACAGTAGAAGAGGCAAGCTCGACTGACCGATGAGAGAAATTCCGTCTGCTTTTATATAAAACAAATCCTTTGTTTTACGTAGTAAAAGTGGAATTTCCCTACATCGAGTCAATTAGAAATTCGGATTTGCCCACACTTGGAATTTCCAAGTATTTCTCCGAATTTCTAAATGCGTCCGGCACGGCGGTCAGCTTCTACCTGACACGCCTCCGGAGACAGTTAATAGTAGGATTTGACAAAATAACAGAATAATTGGATTTTACATAAAACATTTTACGTTTTGTATTAAATTAAAGTCATAATCAAATATGTTATTTATAAAACAAATTAAGAAATAGTTAAACTACATAACATTAAACTTTTTGTCAAAGTAAGTGTTCGATATTTCCACAATTTTCTTCATTCAATTCATTTGTCAATACATTCGTTTACAAAGTATTCGTTTGAGATTTTTATGAATTAAATAATTATATTAATATCTCACCACATAACCAAGGAATATGACTACCACGAACAATCGAACGTTCAGGAAAGTTGTATTAATTATGTTCTTACTGCCCTTTCTCTATAATGTGGCGGTGTAGCATCTTGCATAAACCACATATTTCGCCTTAAATTTGATGACAATTCTTCCAATAAATCAATAAAATCATTTTATAAAAAATGTAAATAAATTTCACCAATCAAATTACAAGGAAATTCACATGTCCGTCAAAATAATTTCAAATGGTACCAAACCATACGATATGAATTTTAAACATGAATTTTAAATAAACGTATGGTTTGGAACCATTGGTTGTTGTTGTTATTCCTAGTTTTTACCGAAAGCGAGTTTTTTTTCCAGGAATTTCACACTGTGGTATTACGAAGCCTTTTTAAATTCACATATGTAAACAAACCGTAAATTATTTTTCGCTACTAATCGCAATATTTGGGATTTTAGTAGGAGAAAAATAAATTTACTTTTATCTGCTTAGTACACCATTGCCGTTCCCTTCCTGTTAAAAAATTAGTTACTATTATTTGAATTAAAAATATTCGCGGCCACATTTTGACTGGCAACCTATTAATTTATTCTCCTAATTTTAAATGTATATAAAAATGTGAGTTTCATTAACTACGATATGAACGTAGTAATCCTGCAGTGGGGTCTTGTACTATAAGGCATTTGACTTTTAAAATAGTTAGGTATCTTTCAAAACCATTCAGGTCAGAAACATTTAAATTAGATTGATTTTTTTGTCCAAAATATTGTATTTTTTATGTAACTTTATTCTATTTTAGACCACTAGTCCCCATAAGAATGTAGAAGTTACAGATCATGGAAACCACGACTTCGTTCACTTATGTAATGGGGAAGACAGTTATGTGACTAAATCAGCCTCTAATATATCATATAAACAAGACTGGATTTTGCTGGCTGCTGCGATAGATCGAATATTTTTTATATCCTTTTCGATGTTTTTTATAATTGGATATTTTTGTTTAAGTAAATAGAAAGACCGTTTAATTAGCAATATTTTGTAATATTTACTTTATAATAAACCTTTTATCATTAAATAAGCATCTACATTTTTTTATCTAAAAGATCTACAACAATAAATTTCATCATCACTAGGATAAGTCAAGATTCAAGATGAACTCTATTATCACTGGAGAGGTAGTGATAATAGTATTCGTACAATTTAATTTTATGGATGATATTATATCACTGCGATCAAAAACGATATCGCGTTATCCAGATGTCATTTTCACAGATTTCACTAAATATTTTTTAAGATCTTTTAGACATCTACCCTGAATTCAATATAATTGTCAGGGCAGACATTTTGTAGTTGGTAAACACTCTATAGTAAGCGGCTATATATTTATTTATTATTTTTACCAGTTACATCTGCTATAAGTCCGAACTAGATAAAGTATACTCGCCTTTTTGCGAAATTTATTATTTAGTACCGCGTGCCGCTTATCAGTGTCGTTGAGGTATACCTGTAAGTTAAGAGAGGGACAGGCGGACGTTGTTATCCTTTTCGAAAGTAATATTCTTATTGTAATACTGCAACAATGTTAAAACTCGCCGGCAAATAGTGGAGATAAATATTAAAATCAGGTAGTCAGAAGTATTACATGAGCGCACAGTCGAATAACATGGCATCAATACCAACGTACAGTACATATGTTAATAAACCGGATAAAAGAAGGTGGTTATCTGTGAAAGAAAAACAAATTAATTAATCGGTTTATGAGGGATTACGAAGAGGAAGATATATTTATAGAGGACATCGTGGCCTTGTACTGCGATTTAACGGTTTTTCGAATAATTCAAGGTAATAAACCACTTCAAAAACCTATTCATAAAAGACATACAGAAATTGTATTGGACGATATTACGAAAAGTATAATCCGAAGAACAGTTCATGGATTTTATTTTAGGAACGAAATGTCCACGTTAAAGGCTATTTAACGAGAAATTAATACAGATGCAGATGACACTTTAAATAAAATATCTATGCGGGTATGACAAAGAGGATTCCGTGAAATGGATTTTCGGTATGTAAAGAGAAAAGTTAGTTAATCGACTGAGATGAACTAGTGATATGACGAAGATAATACTTACAAAGAATTCGTGATTTTAGACCTTTTGGCAAAAAAATTTAATATATGGACTAGACGTGATTGAATAAGGGTCATACGAAATCCAAAGTATGACAAGACTTAAATATTAAAAGTTCACGACAGGCTTTTAGTGAGGTACTTTCAACCAGCTTAAAATCACCTTCGGGAATAGGAATACGCGTCATTACTATGCACATAGGAAGTGATTCATATTTCTTACAAGTTGGTTTAAATACCTTTACCTCTATCAAAACAGGCGATTATCATGAGGATATGAATTCGGATGTGTTTGAAATATAGTTTTCCTCTATACTGACTCTTGTAGAACCTGAATCGGTAATTATAATGGACAATACGCCTTATTACAGCCGTCGTATGGAAACAATACCGACTTCTGCATCCCGAAAGGCAGATATAGTAGATAGGCTAGGAAGCAAAAATATGGAATTTGATGAATCCATGATAAAAGTTCAATTACTTGACGTAGTACGCAAACATAAGACTTCCTACATCAGATTTGCAGTAGACGAAATGGCACGTGAGCATAACATCACCTTATTAAAACCTCGCCCTATCATTGTGAATTGAATCATATCGAGCTAATATGGGCACATATAAATAATGAGGTAGCGCAAAAAACATAACCTTCAAATTAAAAGATGTCAAATTATTATTAGAACAAACCATATAACCACTTACAACTGTCAGTCATGCATTAAACTTGCATATAAAGAAAAAGAGAAAATGTGGGATATAGACACGTATGTTGATGTTCTTATCGAGCCCATTATTATTACTCCAGGAGAAGACAGTACTGATGGTGAATTAACATTTGGAAGTGAATCAGCATAAACAGATTTATTTTAAATAATAACTAATATACTTCTAGTGTATTTGTTTTTTGTTGCTGTTGTTGTTTTACCATTCGGAAAGTACCTGTCCGATCCTTCGTCCTACGAGGTAATATTGTATTATAATAACTTTATTATTATTATGGTAAGTTTGTTTGTCAAAATTAAGGTTAACATTAGGCTGCCAGGTCTATTATTATTTTCTGTAAATCAGTTTCTATAGTTGGTATTTATATTTGAAAATGAACTTTATTTTAAAAATATCAATAGGTACATAAGATTATTATTCCAATATCAGTACGTTTGAAGAAGTCTAATGTAAAAGGTTCCTTTCGAATTAGTCCTCACAATAATTTCCCTTATTTTAAAAATGTACACGCCACCATTGAACTACACTCGTCTCTCGTTTCGTGCCCCTCCAATGTCTATTATTTTAAAAGCGATACCCTTTCAACCCTATTGAATTTGGACTATAGGTGCGAAAAGTAATCCTAGTTCCTCTCCCATCGTAGTTCTTCTTTTAATTTCCTGAATACTAGTGTAGTTAGTTTAATTAGAATATGTTAACGTTATTACACGTTTGCTGCTGGCTGGAAGGGCACTTAAGCCCGAATGCCAAAAAAAAAACGCTTTCAAAAAAGTTTAACCCATTGCAAAAAAAAAATAATCTATGGTTCAAATTTAAAATTTAAACTACATTCTCAGCCAAACCATTTGTTAGTGGATGATAAGAAGTGAGGTGTGATGTTTAACTCAATTCAGACTTTAAAATCTAGGAAACTCTTTTACATTCACATTAGATAGGTAGACCAAAACGAAAAACTTTCCTTAAAGATTTTAATGGTTTAGAGGGATTGAGTAAAAAGTACCTACTCTTAATAGGTAGTAAATACGTCAGGTCCTGTTGAGTCAATAACTAATTAATACTTATGTTTACTTAAAAAATTCCCTAATCAGCGCATCGTCTCTCCAGCCGAAGGCTGGTATGAGGTAATTAAATTTTACGACTTTTTCGTCCGGGAATGTAGGGAGTAAAAATTAACATTAGGGTTCGTAGATATACTCAGTCGAATTTGTACCACCAAAACAAACTATATTGAAATAAAACTTTAAAGCCACACTTGTCCGGAGTCCGGAATTTCCAAACTTAACAGGTCCAGGCCTGTTAGTTAGAATATGGCCTTGAATAATAATGAATAATTTTTTACTTGGGTTTATGAGCCTTAAAAATTGTAATTTTACTTTTTTTTCAGTTTTAAATTGTTTATACTTAACTTAAAAACGATCAAGTTTAAAAAAAATACAAAAAATCTATTTTTTTCAGAATGATTCGTGAAATTAAAAAAATAATCGGGGTCAAAAAAATTTATTTGTTACAAATTTTAAAAAAATAATTGTTTAAAAAAATTTGAACAATTTTTGCTTTGCCCACTTGAACATAATTTTAAGGTGACTCATGAAAGGTATTATGTAAAAAAATCTTTGTGGAAATATTTTTCGCTTCTAAAAATGTTAGATTCGCAACATCGCTTTGTCAATACAAGTACAAGACAATAGTAATACAAGTGACAACAGTACAAGCAAAGAAAACTCATTTATACCATTTTTCAAAGTAAAACACTTGTACGTCACGATTTATACAAAGTGACGTCACTTGTCTTTAAAATTTCCAGAACATCAACCTTAGAGTTCAAATTTTCCTAACATAGCTAATAATGCGAATCCCATACGGAACTGCTCGATCTTTCATAGTCGTCAACATGGTATAATAATCAGGAAAATGTAATTACCATTATATTGATAATTTTAGAATTATATTGATTAAGTAACCAAAAACATTTATTATTAATAATATAAATTTTATGAAATAACTATAAAGTCTAATATTCCACAAAATAATAATTTTAATTACATAGATTAGACAATTCTACGCAACTGATATGGAAATACTTCAAATTTTATTGACAGGTTAGCGTGTGGCAAAAATTGTTTGAAGCTTTGTTTGAAGCCGCTTTTTAGAGTAAGAATTTTGTTCATGTTTTGTTTTTCTATACAATTTGATCATAATAAAATATATATTAATAAATTATAAATACATATTAAATTTAGATTAATAGCTTTAAAAACTAATTATTGTTGTGTATTGTGATAGTGCTATGCCAAAACAAATAAATAGTCTGTAGAAAGCTGATAAGCTTTCATATAAGATAGATTATTTTGAACAAGAAAGAATGTCGGGTCGTTTTTACTATTAAAGCCCTAAAAGAGGGAAGTTTAAAATTTGGAATATATAATTTTCTATTAAAATGTTTTCTTATGTAATTTAGTGTGTTGCAGTAGTCTTAAAACTAAGTGAATTTACTGTTAATATAATAGTTTGACAAATAGTTGACATTTTAAAAATTCCTCATTTACTAACTATTCTGATGTTTTGGCAACGCTGTGGGCATGACATGCAAGAATTTTTATATAAAAAATGCTATAAACAATATTCTGACTAAAAAAGCGGCAACACTTTAAACAATTTTGCCACATGCTGAACTGTCATTAAAATTTGAAGTCTTCTCGTATAAATTGCGTACAATTGTCTAACCTATTTAATTAAAATTATTATTTTGTGGAATATTAGACTTAGAGTTATTTCATAAAATTTATATTATTAATAATAGCCACTGTTTTTAGTTATTTGATTAATATAATTCTAAAATTCCCAATATAATCATGATTACAGTTTTCTGATTATTATACCATGTTGAAGCCTATGAAAGGAGGTAGGTGATCTGTGAGTACAAGCACCGAACAACGAAGAAACGTTGTTCGGTGGTACAAGTGACGAAGTGACCACAGATCACCTACCACCTAATATGAATTAGTGGTCTGTGGAAGTGACAACGACAAGACAACAGTCTGTTTCTGTTATGCTTGACTTTGACTTGTATTTTCTTGGTTATAATAAACAAGTTTTGTTTTTCGGGATATATTAATTTTGGTTCAATTTATTTATTATGGAAGCTAAAATTGAAATTAAGG